CGGAAAATAAACGGCTCAAATGTAAGAGTCTTTCCAAGATTGGTACGCGAAGCCATTAAAATCAAAATACACTCCAATTACAATAGAGAAGACGGCCTAAAATTGTCAAACACCTGGGATCCAATAATATCCAAATTAAAATCTCTAGGTAAACAAATCCGCAAAAATAGAGGACACCGTGAGTCATTTCTGCCATAACCTTCCATCTTTTACTCGATATCAACTCCGGGGAAATAAATACAGATAATACAACTTTTTCTACAGCTGTGATACTTTTTGACATTCAACGCCTTTTGTCTTCAGTCACCGTGACCACCAGGTAAAGCACGGAAACGTCGGTTAAATTTAAAATTATGAAATATAATTGTAAATACATAACTTCAATCCGGTAAAAAATTGTTTTATTATCAAATGTGTGAAATTTATGTCAATATAAGACAGTACTAAGAGTCTTTCCTCCAACTTTGATTTTGTTCCTCGTGGAGTACCTAGACTGGAGCCGTAGAGTTCAAGTAGGTAGGTACACAGCTAATTAAAGATTTAAGTTGGCGCCTGGTAGGACCCCAGAGCTGGTGCTTTGAACGAATAATCGCAATACAGCGGGGAAATGCCAGTATTAAATGGTCTGCCACAGGTATTATTTTTAAAATTTAATTTTCTATTTTTTTTAATTACATATTGTGGGTTATTAATTATTATATTGTAAATACTGTATATTTCTCGGAAATAAATTAAACTCTTTTACGAAACAAAGAAAGAAAGAAATAAAAAAGAAGTCCTTTGAAGTTTGAATAATACTTATATTTTAAGGTTAGTTATTGTTCTTAGTTAAGAAAATTGTTAATAATAAAGTACAAGATTGTTATTTAAAAAAATATATTCAGTCTGTATATATATATATACATATATAGGTGAATAGTTTACGAGATATTTCGATTGCCCAACTTGCCCCTATGTTCAACTAGCCCCGCTCTACCCTATAGGTTATATCTTTTTCTGTTTACTCCCGGGGTTAAGACTGAATAGTCTTCTGGAGTACCTAACATCAGTGACTACTGAATGTTCCTTCGATTTCGTACAAGTCCAGAAACCATCTGAAAAATATACTATAATACCTTTGAATCCATCTTTAAATGAAATTTGTTTAAGAATAGTATCAATAGTTTTTAATAAAAATAACACATTTGACTTCGACGTTTTGTTTTTTTATTGGACAATTGACCTAGTCCCATGCTAAGCTGGTGAAGCTTGTGTTATGGGTACTAGGCAACGGATATACATACATATTATAGATAGATGGACATATAAATACATATTTAAACACCCAAGACCTAAGCACAACACCAAATGCTCATCACATCGATGTTTGTCTCAGCCGGGGATCGAACCCGGGACCCATGGATTCGCAGTCAGGGGTACTAACCACTAGACCAATGAGCCGTCAAACGTTGATACTTGATAATGATGATTTAATTATTGATTATAAACGAAAAATATGTTGCTAAAAGGTAAACTCGTAGACTGGACCAACTCGAGTAGATTTTTATTCCTTGAACTCTGAGGAAGTTTTTATTGAGACAAAATTGGATAAATTGCACGAAAACTCTAAAACCAGTTTTTATTCCGGAAAAGCGAACTCTCCTCAAAGCTAAATTCTATATGTTGGTATGGTAGGTAGGTAAAAAGTTAGGCTAAGTAAATAAAATTGCAAATAGCAGTGTTGGCCTAGTGGCTTCAGCGAGCGACTCTCATCCTTGAGGTTCAAATTCCGGCTGTGCACCAATGGAATTTCTGTGCGCATTTAAAACTCGCTCGTACGAAGGAAAACATTGTAAGGAAACCGGCTTGACGACTTAGACCCGACACGACGGCGTACAGGCACAGGAGGCTGATCACCTACTTGCTTATTAGATTGTCAAAACATGAAACGGGTACAGAAATCTGAGGCCCAGACCTAAAAAGATTGTATCGCCACTGATTTATTTATTTTTAAGTTAATAAAACATTAAGGCGAAACGAAGTCCGCGCTCATTTAGTTAAATTGTTATCTATAAATAACTAGTTTTATATTGATTAAATATATTGAAAATATTCTAAAATAAAGGCCCAATTTGAATACACGAATGTTGTTTTATTAAAAACAGTAATAATAATTCCTAATTTAGGCTGAAAATGGTAATGAACAAAAAATACTGGTTTTATTGTGAAAAAGCGTGGGTTGCTCGATAGACGAAAAATATGGCACAGAGCGCTCCACGCTTTTTCACAATAATACCAGTATTTTTTGTTCATTACCATTTTCAGCCTAAATTAGGAATTATTTTTCACTTTTTAGTTTGATAAGCTTTAAAAGCGTGTTTTATAGTTTTTTTAAACTATATTTATTTTCCACTTTTTAGTCCTAGCAGCAATACGTGTTGTCTCAATTTAATCGTATTGCTTTGTGGACTTAAAAAAAAATCATTGTTTTTTCGAAATAAACCTATTAAATTATTATATTGTCGCTGATTCTTTATAAGTGTACAAAGTTTGAATTAAATCTGTCTGTTTAAAGTGGGTCAAAATCGAGTCCGAAGGAGTCGGTTACATACATACATACATACAGGTGAAGCTAATATAAAGCGTGTAAAAATAAAATGCCTTTCCCGCCATTTTCATGTGTCAATGTTGATATTATTTTTTTTCTTTTATATGGCAATTTTTTGTTACTAAAATAGTTTATTAACAAAAAATTGCCATGTACAACATTAATTAATCATTGTCACATCATCTATCACATTAGCGCTGTTATAGATTGCCGTGATAGTACTGACCTTTGGTCTTATTTGTAAACTGTTTTCGTAGTGACCTGAGATGGCGCTGATATAAAAAACTTGTATAAAGAAAATAGTGTTAATATTAGATCGCAATTAGATATCTAGATTTTATAATTATTATTCTACTTAAAGCTTTCTCTAATTAATGCTTATTTATACCTCTACTTCATTTAAAAGCTCTACAAAATAAACCTTAGTTATTCTTATTTACACGAGATGGCGCTGATCTAAATAAATCTTGTTAAAACTGTCTTTGTTTATTTGAAAAAAAAAAATTATAGAATCAGCATTTTAAATTACTATTGTTATCGAGGTATATGAAATTTTGTACCACTTTGTGGAATCGGCTGCCTTTTAAGAATTGCTACGCTCTTTGAAGGATCCTAAGTCGAATTGGCTCGGAAATACTTCAATGGGCAGCTGGTTCCACACAGTTGTGGAACGACGGACGTCAACTTCATACGGGTGGAATATGATATGCCTCTGATGAAACTCAGCTGCAGAATCCGAACAACTCCTCTAAACACTCTCTGTTGAATGCGGTAGAAGAGACAGATGGACCCCACATCTCTACGCAACGCCAATCAAGCCGCACGGAAAGGGACTTGGTTTATGAAGGAATTATTTACCTCTAAAAGTTTTTTGAATCTGAAAGAATTATGGACCTGGCTCCATCATCCCCTTTCAATCAACGCTCATCTAGAAGCACGCTGGAGTTTCACCTTGCTTCATCTACTTTCACGACATTCACCATGCTCATAAAATTAGGGTGCTTTTTCGATATTAATTCAAAATAAGGTGAAAATAATTATTACAAATCAAATAAATTACAGCGTATTTAGGACATAAAAAGGTAAATTTTCACCACATTTCGTGGAAAAAAATTTTTTTTTGTATATGATTAAAATAAAAAACCAAAATCTTGGTTTTTTGGAATTTTTCACATAAATTTTGAGGTTATGTGAAAAAAGTGTAAATACAAAAGTTTTAGATCTTTTTACTATCTACAACTTTGCCATTTGACTTTTTGAAATCGAGATAAACCGCTTTTTACCCTTGAAAACTCACCCCCTTCCCCTTCCCGACCTGAGATCGTCCGTAAATTATTTTTCCTTTCATTTTTTTCAAAAATTATCGACCCTGGTCTATAATAGAATAATAACCGGTTTAAAAACGGATCTTCACATAATTCGTTTAACTAGATTTGCCCATTAAATAGCGCCAGGCGTTAACTTTTATAATACAAAGTTGGAAAAAGAAGAAGGAAGTACAACTTCTTTCCTTACGAGGTTCTTCATGGGGATAAAATCTCTGGGGATTGGGTATGGGTATGGGAAAAAGGGGGGTGTGATTCATTAGAACTTAACATGACGTTACTGCCGATTAGGTGCTGGTGTCTTCATATTTTTATCATCAAATAACTTTTCTAGCGGTTAGGCGCTTGTGTCAACTTATTGTTCATCATCAAATACCTTTTTTTGCGGTTAGGCGCTTCTGACCATATATCTTTTATTAATAAGGTGAAGGTAAACAAAAAAAACAAAAACCGATATAAAATTTCCTTTATTAAAGCTTAACTTACATATTTCTAGCAGGGTTAGGCGCGGGTGCCCACTTTTAATCTAGAACGTTCTATATAAATTCACTTATATCAACTAAAAATGCACGAAATTGTGAATATAATTTCAAATTAATGATTAAACTAATGACCCAATGAAAAAGTCTCAAAGTCAAAAATTTACCGAGAAATTTGTGGACAAACATACACTGTCACTTGGAAGCCTAATTACATACAAACTGATAATTGCATTTTAATATGTATCTTATTTAAATCAGTCGGTAACTAATGATTTATTACAAAATATTTTTAATTCGTACAGTGAAAAAAAATTTAATAATTCGATTCAGAAGATGTTACAAATAATGATTTAAAGTTCCACAAAAATCATCATTAATTAATATATCATTAAAACTAACAATTAATAATTGAAAAAAAATCTGTTACAAAAAACTTTTTGTTAAACATAGAACTAATTTCAAAAATTGAATAACAAATCATTCATGAGTGGCTTAAATTTAAAAAGGTATGTCGAATAATGATTTAAAATCATTAATTGCACGTGTTTAATCAAAATTGGAACTTTAAATATCTAAATTCGTACAAAAACCCTTCAAGTTAGAACTTTAGAACATGCCTTTAGCTTTACAACTAGCCGCAAATGCTCTCACATGGACAATATAGTCCAACATCACAGTAGCGAAAGCCGCGTCCAACACGAACTGTGGTATTTTACCTATAACACCACAAAGTACAATTAAATAAATCAGTAGCACCTTTTTAGGTCTAGGCCTCAGATTTCTGTACCTGTTTCATGATTTGTCAATCAATAGGTATGTTATAAAGACTCATCCCTGAGGTCGTGGGTTCGATTACCGGCTGTGCACCTATGGACTTTCTTTCTATGTGCGCATTAACAACAGGTCGTACGGTGAAGGAAAACATCGTGAGGAAACCGACTTATCTTAGAACAAAGTCAACGGCGTGTGTCAAGCACAGAAGGCTGATCACCTATTTGCCTATTAGATTGACAAATGATCATACAGAAATCTGAGGTCCAGACCTAAAAATGTTGTGTTGTTTTTTAAATATACATATATAGTATATAAAAGATCAGAAATAGAACCTAGTTCTAGCATTTTCAAAATCAACGTTTAACAAATAAATAGTATTTTTTTTTAACAGGAGAAATAATTGTAAAAGTGAAGAGAGAAATTTGTGTATGTCTAAACATGATTTTACCTTTAAGATCACAGCACATTAGCCACTGGAAGACCGTCTGTTCCACTTTGCCATTTGGCGTTTGAACCCACTTGGGGGTCAGAAACCAACAGCCAACTTTATTGTGTCCCCTGAAATAGACAATATATTGATTCATTCAGAACAAAAATTATAACCAGAAATAACTGATTCGAAATGAAAATATGTTAAATAATTAATGTTGAATAACTATTTAGTTAAATAATTAATTTTGAATCATTAATGTTGAATAATGTTGCTGAAACGGAAGAAATTTTTCAAGAGCTAGAAAAAAGTTATTTGTAGTTTTTAAAAGGCATTGAAATTATAATTATATTCAACAATAATCAGGACAAATATTTTTTAAAAATATACAGCTAGTGGCATGCGCGTGTGTCTCTCATCTCCGAGATTCTACTGGCTGTGCACGTGCGAAACATCGTAACACCGGCATTATACCCGATCAGGCAAAGGCTGATCACCTACTTGCCTCATGAAACGTTTAACCCATTTAACCATACCTGACCATATCCCGATGCGGCGGGTATCCGGGCACAGTGACACTGACACCGCTGCATATGAAACTAGATGGCGTGTCATCTGTCACTTTCCCGTCACTACTCAGTGGCGCCGTCCGGCGGAGGATGACGAAGTCCCGTGGGGCGATAATCCCGCGACCCCCGCCAGCTGTCACTTGGTACGACAAGTCCACGCCGGGACCTACTTCCTGTTTTGTGGATATTGATTACGTTAAGAGAGCAGTGTTGGACTAGTGGCTTCAGCGCGCGCCTCTCTTCCTTGAGAGAGAACCACGGCTCTTATGCGGCACACCAATGGACTTTATAGCGTATTTAACTTGGAGTAACTAGAAGTCGACGGCGTGTGGCAGGAGGCTGATCACCTACTTGCCTATTAGACAATACAAACACAGAAATCTGAAACCTAGACCTAAAAAGGTTGTAGCGCCACAGATTTTTTGATTACCATGCATTAAATTGAAAAAACTCAATGTAGGGGTCATTCTGTATTAAGATAACGAATTCAATTACGAAAACAGATGGCGCTGCCCAGGTTAGCTAATCAAAGATGGCGCTCTAATAATTAAATGGGAACATGCTAGTTTGAAAAGAAAAAAAGTGAGGACAGAAACCTGGGAAGATTGCCCGCGTTTGCGATGACAGATGGGACACAAGGACCCTTACTTGGAATGGCCCAATACCAAAAACCTGGGAAGATATAAGAGATAGCGGGGAAATATTGGAAAATGGAAGCGAAGACAGAGAGCGATAAATGGAAGAATTTGGAGGAAGCTCTCACTCCGTCGGACGTCTTGTACTATAGTATTCGAATACGGGCTATTTTTAAGCTATTGCATAGATTTTATCGCGGGCTTTGAGTGCGGCGAGCGAATCAAGGAATTCCGTAACGAAAATAAAAACCTAACACACGATAACGTAATATAGGTGCGGCCAATACGCGTTAGAGCGGGACAGAACGCATACTGCGTCTCACTTGGTCTGGCGTGATCGGTGACTTAGTGCAGGTGCGTTAGAGTGGCACAGAACGCATACTGCGTATTCACATCTCTCAGACGAGATCGGTGACGTAGCGTAATCGCGGCCGGTAATAAATAAATAAATAATAATAACTGCATAAGTTGATAAAAAATGCTACGCAATAGCTTTACCGCGGCAGTCCCCGAGTGCCACACGTTTCTTATTTATTGCTGTCGCATCTTCGGCATCACTAAGCCCCTTGGGACATTACTTGGTCCAGTGAAGAGTGGTCACCAGTTTACTCCAGGCTTCTCCAAGTTACCGGGACCCGTCCTAAGCATCTAGTCTAACACTTACTTTAATCAATTCACTTTTTAATATAGTGGGGTTCCACTCCGGCAGCCTGGTTAAATTGTCTCTGAACTCGCTGTACAGGAACTTGGCTGGACAGTCCACGATACCCTGTATATATGAACTGTATGTTAAGTAATCCCTCCTAAAAAATAACCGGTAATGGACACATGGGAAGAAGAATAGAAGGGTAGAAAATCTAGTGACTTGGCATGCCTTTTGGCTTAACCTTTTTTATATAGAACATGGAGCAAACGGGCAGGAGGCTCACCTGATGTTAAGTGATACCATGGATAATGTCAAAGCCTCAAGTTGGGGTTGATTTAGGAATGAAAAAAGAGTGTACCAATTCTTAAAAGGCCGACAACGCACTTGCGAGCCTTCTGGCAATATGGGTGTCCCTATGGACAGTCCCTAGCGACAGGTATTTCCGAACCAATTTGACTTAGGGTCCTTCAAAGACCCGACCTAGTTTTAAAAGGCCGGCAACGCACTTAAGAGCCTTCTGGTAATATGAGTGTCCTTAGGCGACAGGTATTTCCCAACCAATTCGACTAAGTGCCCTTAAAAGACCGAACCAATTTTTAAAAGGCCGGCAACGCACTTGCGAGCCATCTGATAATGTGAGTGTCCATGGGCGGTAACACTTAGCATCAGATGATCCTTCTGCCCGTTTGTCTTCAATAAGAAAAAACCTGTCAGGATATGAGAAAACCATCTAAGTACCATTGCTTTGGAGAATCCACTCACCGTAAATCGATACACCTTCCCGAACTTTTCAGTCTGAGTTGACTCCACAATATCACCCTTTTGCGACCCCCTCTTCTCCAATTTCCAAGATGGCGCGTGGACCACCCTCCACGCGTCCTGCATACTCTCCTCCGCGAGGCGTTTGTATTCGTCTATCTGGAAATATATATTGGATGCTTCAATCCTATAGGTGCATGGCTCCAGGGTTTTGATGGATAAAAGGTGTCCGGGCTACACTCACACAGTGGACACTCCACCTTTTGTTTACTATTAGGATGATTTGACATTAGTTGATATTTGACAGAGTATTAAGTATTTGTGTTGTATTTCATCAAATGTCGCATAGGAACTTCCACCGGTATCACCTCGACGTACCTTCCACAACGGTTTCAGGCAGGTTTTGCCCCACCACTAAGTGGAACCAGCTGCCCACGGAATAATTTCGAAACAAATTCAAGTTAGGGTCCTTAAAAGGCAGCATTCGCACTCGGGAGCCCTTTGGCGTTAAGTGTCCATGGGCGACAGGTATTTCAGAACCTATACGATATTAGGGTCTTACAAAGAGTGAATCAATTCTTAAAAGGCCGGCAACGCACTCGGGAGCACTATGACATTGAGTTTCCATGGGCGACAGGTATTTGTGAACCAATTAGACTTGGGTCTTTTACAGACCGTACCAATTCTTAACAGTTCTCTTTCTTTCTTTCATATAACTCTGAACAAATTCTTCCTTTGTACTCACAGACAACCATTCAGCTTTAAACCCCTCACCAGAGTCATGGTTAAACAAATATTTCATCCAACTGGACACATTGAACCCAAATTTATTCCACTTCTCCAACTTCTTCTCCAATTCCTCCTCAGTAGCAACATTCTCCAATTCGTTAAGATGCTTCTGAACCTCGCTGTCTTTTAGCGAGTTGTCTATTGACGCCATTTCTATGTGTATAATCTATGGTTCTATTTCTGGTTCTCTTACGTCACCGTAAATGTACGACTAAAGTGAAAGCGATATATGAAATTGTATCAGAGTGAAGAGGACAAAAACATTGTTTTCTTTGTTTAAAAGGCGTTGTTTGACTTCATGCAATGATGTCATACAAGAGTGTTAAGAAAAATAAATATGTATTATTATCTGTACCTCTATAAAGGCTTATAATTTTGTTCCTTTCGTGTATGTTTGTACATGTATATTTTTTAGACTTATTTAATGAATATCGATGTTTATTATCTGTACTACTTTTGGTACTATTTGTAATATGTGGTAGTCGCAAAGATATATCAAAGTACTTCAAGGATTTTTTTAAACAAATCTTTTTTTATTAATAATAGTAGTTCAGAATAATTTAACTGTGTAAGAATGATGCTCTTCTATCGACCTAAAGGAAGGATCGTTTACTAGTCTAACCACTGACAGGAACGCAACGCGAAATACTTCGATAGCGCGTTTTATGGTCATCATCATCGTAATCTCTAATCAAGTTTTTTGAAGTGAAACTTCTTTAGGCGCATGAGGGTCAAATTTTTACGGAACGTCACGAAGATGTGCAGCGTTTTTGTCGAAGAAAAGGGAGAGAGCTATTGAGAGAGTGAGAAGGGCGAATTAACTTATAGAAATTCTATTTTTAAAATAAAAATTTCGCAAAGAGAATATTAGTATTTTATATTTTATGCAAAATAATTTATTTCTAATGACGAATTGTAAATTAAAATGCCACGTGTTTTTATTATCGAAGAAATAAATAAATAAAATAAAATTTATAATTTGTATTAATTTTCGACACTCTTAATATTTTAAAGACAAATTCATTAAATTCCTAACATATCTTCCTTTTTCCCTCCATCTTAGTCTCGGAAATCTAAAGTTTTAGATTTGTAAGTATACCTAAATATGAACAAGAGTTAAAAATTAGTGGCAAACTAATTTCCGAAACCAACTCTACTTCTGACATGTGTACTTTGTACGCACGCACTTTTTGTTTAAACCTAATCTAATTTAAAATATCAGATATTTTAAGAATAAACTACGGACTTGAATGACACTGATCATTTGATATAATTGCAGGTATCTTGGATACCTTTAAAAGTCTATATAGAACGTCAAATATTAACCAAAAATATCTTTTTAAAGTCAAAAAACCAGCAATTGAACCGTTTAGGTCTGGGCCTCATATCTGTTTCATGAGGCAAGTAGGTGATCATCCTTCTAAGGGTCTAAGGTTTCCTCACGATGTCTTCCTTCGTTCGTATGAAGGTATTACCATGTTCTCGCTACAACCTGTCAGGTCTGCGTCCCATGTATCTGTTTCATGAGGCAAGTAGATGATAGATGTTACGTAGTGTTACACATTGGTGCACAACGCTGCTTTTAAACATAAATCACAATTTTTTTCCTTGAACTCTGAGAAAGGTTTTTATGGATAGTAAAATTGGAAGTACAGATCTTGTTCCGGAAATACAAGGTCGGCCGGTCTCTACGAGGTAACATAGTAAATTATATGTTGGTATGTACTAAAAAGGTAGGCTAAGTATATATGGAAACGAAGTTTATATACAATAATAGATATTACACAAATCCGTTATCTTTTAAGTACCTTATCATTGCAAAAGATTATTTTATATATTGTGAAAGTAGATAAACACGATTTAGTGCCTATTAGAAAATCGTCTATAATAATTAAAAGCAATTTTAAATGATTTTGATGAGTTTTTTGCTAGGAAAGAGGTATCCCAAGGATGGTCTGATAAGGAAACCAGGATAATAATGGCATTCCAGAGAAATCGAGGGAAAGCTGAAAATCTGTTTTTTTTTTGGTAAAAAGTATACCATTTTTACAGTAGCGACCTACAGTAATCCCCCATATAACGCCTTTTCATGTATCGCGATTTATATCCTCCATATAACGCGGTTTCTCCCCCATAACGCGTTTACGTATAACGCGATAGTTTTACCACAGAACGCGTTTTCGTTTGACGCGATATATCCCCCATGAAACGCTATTTCGTGTAACGCGATTTACGTCCCCCATATAACGCGGTTTCTCCCCCGTAAAGCGTTTTCGCATAAATCGATATTTCTTCCATATAACGCCTTTTCGTGTAAAGCGATTTACGTCCCCCATATAACGCCTTTTCGTTTAACGAGATATTTCCCCCATGAAACGCTATTTCGTGTAACGCGATATTTCCCTCATATAACGCGATTTCCATCCCCCATTTAACACGGAGATTTCTTAGTGTAATTTATAATGATTTGTCAAGTCCATAATTAGTTTTGTGTACCTTTGCACCTGCATGTGTGTTTTACAAAATTAAACTAAACAACTTTATTAAATTCGTGTTCCTAGTTTTATAATAAAAAAAAACAGTTTTACGATAACACTCCTACAACGCGATTTCCTATAACGCGCTTACGGGGGTTACTGTACGAATAATATTAGATAGAAGGGTCAAATTGATAGTTCTATATAAATCGTAAAAGGGTTGGCCTTATCACGATAACGAGATATAGAATTAATCAATATTTCATATAGACCAAGAAATATTATATTCAAAATGTCCTATTCCTCTTTGTCTCAGTGCACAAAACACTCTAAGAGACCAGTGATGACCAAAGCTTCAGCCTTCATCCGTGAGGTCATCCATGGCTGTGGAGTTTTCTATGTTTAACGGTTCGTAACACCGGCATTAGACCCAATCTGGCAAAGGCCGATCACCCACTTGCCTCATGAAACAGATACATAGGGCCCTGACCTAAAGGGTTGTAGCGAGAACATCATAATACCTTAATATCTACAAAGGAACATTGTGGGTCAAAGGTTTTTTGAAATAAAAATGATCAAAGCAGTTTAGACCCCATACAGAAAAAACGGTCCGTTTCTTAATAGGCAAGTGATAAGCTTTTTGTGTCGAGATTTTGGGTTTCCTCATAATATTTTCCTTCACGAGCGAGTGTTAAATGCGCATTAAATTGGCGCACAGCCGGGGTTCGAACCTACGACCTGAGGGATGAGAGTCGCACGCTGAAGTCTAGACCAACACTGCTCCAATCAAAAAGACCAATCAATAGAAATGTTCTTTATTAACAAATTCCTTTTACCATGGCCTTGACCTTTAAAATTCGAGCCAAGGTCAGGTTGATGGTCGATAATTTTTCGCATATTTTATTAAATTTATGCAAAACTCTACATTTTTGAATCATTTAACCCCCTCGAACCTATAGAGGAACTATGCTTGAACAAACAAACAAAATGTTAATAACCTCCTACATTGTTTAAGCTTAACCGACTTCTCTACGTATTCCGTTTAATCATGAGTGATTAACACTAAGACTTAATGAACGTCTCTGAGTGTATAAATTACGACGTTTATTAAAGGTTATTTATTACAAGACTAACTTCCGTATAGCCAGTCTCAATAGGTTAATGAAATGCGCCTAAAATCTAGTTTTACTAATCTAAATCCACGTGCTTTAAAAATCTTAACACGTCCCAATACGGAATAAAACAACACAAAAACTTAACTGTTACAAAAAAGTCCCTATTCTGTTGATTTAAGCGTTTGGAGTAATGTCTTTATAACCTTGTATTTAAATTGATTTTACATTGGCAATAACTCGAGTGAATAATAAAATAATTCAATTTTTTCAACGTTCAAACAATTATAAATTCAAATTAAGAAAACGGTTGGTAGAAAACTATATGATGAAAAATAATTTTATGTTTAAATATCGAACGAACTCTAAGTTTACTAGGATTTAAAATTGGCGTATTCCTAATTCAAATTTCGAAGTCTGCCCTCGTGTTCTAAAATCAATTTCAAATAATATAACGACGAATTAATAAAAATAATTCTTTATTTTAAATATCGAACGACAGTCGATGCAAACTGTAATAAGCTTTAAAATGATGATTCCTGATCAAATGTCGAATATGAATTGAATTAAATTTTAAATTACGCTTAACAATGGAAGCCGTAAGTTCAAAACCAACACACAAACACAAATTGAATGACAAACCAACGTTAAAACAAAATGGCCACTACAAAATTAATTTTCGAATTCCGAACGAACAGCGTTATCGACGCTTACTCACACGCGACTGATCACATCCTTTGTTTATTGCCACGATATTGTATGATTACAAACCGCTACAGTAAAACCGTAAAAATACAGTAGATTTTCATATTGCATGAATTAAGACAAGTTTCAGAGTTAAGCTTAGCGCTAGGTAAACTCGGTTAAGTCAAAAACGTGTTGGATTTTAAATTTAAATTAAGAGAGATTACAGCGGTCAGTGAAAATCTCAATTCTACTGAAATTACAAAGAACTTTTTAATGGCGTATCTAAGTGAATTTTTACCGTATTTTTTAACACTAGACTGGGGAAGCGAAATGTTAGTGTATTGTTTTAGGATCTTATGATTCTTTACAGAAAATTGTGACAGTAAAATCATCTGAAATCAAGGCGGAAGTTACAGTAGACTTGCAATACTGTATAAATCTACTATAGTTACCGATGTCACAGTATAAATACTTTTATAACATTTTATGTCATTACTACCTTTTTTAGGTAAAGAATTGTCTACTGTATTTTAATTTACTGATTTATCAGTGATCATGGCAGGGCAAATTACATAATATGACGAAAAAATTTGTTGTTTGAATATTTAATTTGTTTTTAATGCTATGCCTAATGGTTAACCTTGAACTATTTCGAATCCAGACAAAAAACGTAAGTAAGTTTCCACGCCGCCGAATCACCTTTTTTTTAGCCTTGGAAACCTAACCTAAACGTATGATTTTTGAAGTTATACTTCTTTTGGCGCGTTGGGGAAAAATGATGAGAGTAAGTTTTTACGATGCGCGCGCACACCGTCACAAAAAACCAACACCCTGAAGTTAGCATAGTCAACATTTTAAAGTAAAAAAATGTCCATTTCTTTAATTATATAAAATATTTTTTTGTGATATTTAAATAAACTTTATTTAAGTAGATAATGCGTTATAATAAAACTTTCAATGTATTAAATACCTTTTTTCTATTGTTAGTGTCGTTTTTACACGCTTTATATTAGCTTCACCTGTATGTATGTATGTATGTAACCGACTCCTTCGGACTCGATTTTGACCCACATTAAACGGACAGATTTAATTCAAACTTTGTACACTTATAAAGAATCAGCGACAATATAATAATTTCATAGGTTTATCTCGAAAAAACAATGAATTTTTTTTAAGTCCACAAAGCAATACGATTTAATTGAGACAACACGTATTGCTGCTAGGACTAAAAAGTGGAAAATAAATATAGTTTAAAAAAAACTAAAAAACACGCTTTTAAAGTACATCATGAAAATGGTAATGAACAAAAAATACTGGTATTATTGTGAAAAAAGCGTGGGTTGCTCATATGGCACAGAGCGCGCCACGCTTTTTTCACAATAATACCAGTATTTTTTGTTCATTACCATTTTCAGCCTAAATTAGGAATTATTTTTCACTTTTTAGTTTGATGTGCTTTAAAAGCGTGTTTTTTAGTTTTTTTAAACTATATTTATTTCTACAAACGTTGATTACAATTTTATATGCTCCGCGAAAGTAGTATAATATACCAGTGGTATAGCCTTGTGGTGTGGTCTTGCCCATTCTTCTCAGAACAACACCTCCTGGTAGTTTTGCGAACGGATGGCGTAGTCTTGCTCTTTCGCGAATTTTGTAAACGTTTTTGACATTGATATCTTCCTTCGTACGTATTAAGGTATTACGATGTTCTCGCTAGAACCGTTTCGGTCTGGGTCCTATGTATCTGTTTCATGGGGCAAGTAGGTGATCAGCCTTTGGGATCAGATCAGGGATTAGTGTCACAGGGATTAGACCACAACATTATCAATTGACCAATTGAACTCCAATTGACTGCAATCAATCAACAAGTACCTTTAAACATCGTATTACGTTAAGTACTTAAGATAGTACCTAGATACCCGATAATGGAAGACTTAGATGAACTCGTAACTGGACCTCCATGTCCATGAACATACATATCTGGCAATATTTTCTAGTAGGAAATGAAATGGGTGAAAGAAATATTGGATCACAAAGAGAAATAATGTAAAACCGAGCCATAGGGAAACAGCCAAAACGAAGAGAAAGAGCATGAAGAGACTTTATGCTTGATGAACAAGAGTGGGGCGAAAGGGCAGATTGGAAGGATCTGAAGAAGACCAAAAAGGCCGGTAAAGAAACTTCTCAAACTTTCAAAAAATACTCTCGCACTCAAACTCAAAATAACTTTATTCATATAGGTCAACAAGTACACTTATGAACGTCAACAGAATAGATGTTAAATTAATTCTAAATTTACATTTACTACCAGTTTTCCAAGTGCGTAGAAACAAGAATAACTGACAAGAAACTCTCCGCCACTCTTTTTAACCGCCAAGTTTTGAGTCATACAAATTGTTTGAACTGGCAAACCAATCCCAAGGATTAGGGTCATTTAAATATTCCCTTGGCGTTGCGTAGACATGTGGGGTCACTGCATATTCTACCGCATTTACCATGGAGAGTGTTCAGAGGAGTTGTTCGGATTAAAACCTGCAGCTGAGTTTCATCATCGGACGTCGAGGCAGAATACGAACCTATCACCTCGACGTCCGCCGTTCCACAACTGAGCGTTTTTCAAGGCAGTTTTTGCCGCGCACCACCACTTTGTGGAACCAGCTGCCCACTGAAGTATTTCCGAACCAATTCGACTTAGGGTCCTACAAGAAAAGAGCGTAGCAATTCTTAAAATGCCGGCAACGCACTCGCGAACCCCCTGGGATTGAGAGTGTCCATGGGCGGCTGTATCACTTACCTTCAGGTGAGCCTCCTGCGCGTTAGCCCCCTGTTCTATAAAAAAAAATCGTCAAATTTATAAAGGGCATGGATAAGATACTGGAGAACGCGCGTTTAACCAGTTCCCTGATGGAGGTCAACAACAGTTTTTTATCGTTAAAACATTGGAAATCTTGAAATTTCAGTTTCTTTCAGTTACTTCTGGATATCATGGCTAAGCTCAGCATGGGCTTTTCCATGGGCTAGCGCTTGTCCCAGACTCGGAGCACGGCTTGGGCCCGACTGGTCCAGCACCAGAAGGGGCAGCAATATTTTTGCAATAAATACATCGACATTGTTTCTAACATTCGTAAATTATCTTTGATAGACAAAAACAATTTGTGATTAAACGTCTCTAAATATCAGCCTAAGTCTAGATTAATTAGATTGTATGTTACCTTGAAGTCTAGATAATCATAATTGATATCAAAAGGTACTTATCGGATTTGGATTTGATTTAAAGAATTATTAAACAAACCTTGGCGATGTTAGCCATGCGTCTCTTGAACAAAAATCGTTATATTTCAGTAAATTTATATAAAACCCTTATTCATTGTATACCTAAATATTCCTCAACATACACACTTACACAACATTAGTGAAAACTGTATAAAAATCCGTTCGGTAATTTTGGAGTTAATCGCGTATATACTTAGTCTAGCCATAAATACTGTTACAATTAAAAATAAACAAAATATTACATTTGAATTTGGAATCTGTCATTTTTATTCATTTTGGCGCCAATACATTGTACAATGTTTTGCGATATTAAAATGGAGTGTGGTGATAAAGAGAACCGAACCGCTGTGATTGCATTACATAAAGGAGGTATGGAGACAAATGCAATTTTTAAAACTCTCCATACGCTCGGTATTAGTAAAATGTTTGTATCCCGGGCTATTAATAGATACAATAAAACCTTCTCTGTTTGTGACAGAAAAAGATCTGGCCATCCACGTAGTGTTCGTACGAAAAAGGTGGTCAAAGCATTAAGGGAAAGAATTCGAAGAAATCCTGTCCGAATGCAAAAGATTTATCTAGAACCATGCGTAATTTTAAAGAGACGTACTGGTCATTTCTTAACTGACAATTTAAAAAAAAAATCGGGTGGCAAAATCGAAACTACTGACGCGGTTCGCAAAGGAAGGTCACAGAAATTTTTTTTGACGGATGAGAAAATTTGAACACACAAAATGACCGAATTAATGCTCAAAGCTCTAAGGAAGCTTTCGAATTAGTCGACAGAGTTCAACGTGGGCACTATCCGACTTAAATGATGGTTTGGTGGGGTATTAGCTATGAAGGAGTGACTGCGCCATACTCTTAATATAACTCATGTCTCTTAGACATAACGTGTGTACAACAGGGATGTTATGGACCTACGTAACCGAATCAATCGGATATCCGAAATAAAAATATCTCCGTAACCGTATCCTTTTCAGAACTTTCGGATAGTTTCGTATAAGGGCAGCGTCTAAAATCTAAAAAAAGGACATGTTTCGACATATTTCATTACTCACAAAAAGAATTAAAAAGAAAACATTTAATATGTTATACATAGGTTATAAGTTAATATGTGTAATGTATAAAGCTTAATGTTTTTTTACAGCTCTTAAATTTATAGCATTTTTATTTATAGATAAAACTGAGGAGGTTTAAAATAATTAGTTACCTATACGACCGATTATAATACCAACTGATAACCTAGACTGGATAAAACCGTTTATATATTTATTTATACTATTTGTGTTTATATTTTACTTCAATCTAATAACCGTAACCGAAACTATCCAAAACTAACGGATAATCCGAAATTAACCGTATCCGAAACCGATATAATTTTATTCCTATATCCATATCCGTATCCAGATCCGAAATATCATATCCATAACATCTCTAGTGTACAAGGGCTGTATCGGATCATGCGTAGTCTTCGCGCATTGGGGATTCCATCCACTGGCGTCAGACGCTACACTTCCGATTCTCACGAAGGTGTTCCCTTCTACGCGAGGAACGTTGATCTCCACCACGACCGGATGAAGTTGGTATCTACACGCGACAATAAACATAATCCCGACCAGTTGCTGCGTAAACGCATCAATAATTACCCCTTCCCAACTGAAAAGATTTCTGTATCTGTTTCATGATTGACAATCTAGTGGGCAAGTAGGTGATCAGGTTGATCTGACACACGCCGTCGTTGGGTCTAAGGCAAGCAAGGCCGGCACGCACTAAAAATGGGTGCCCATAGACACCCATTTTCGCAGGCTCGTATGCCCCCTATTTTATAAAAAAAGCCGGTTTCCTCACGATGTTTTCCTTCGTACAAGCGATTGCTAAATATGCACATAGAAAGTCCATTGGTGCACAGCCGGGGTTTGAACATCAGGGATGAGAGTTGCACGCTGAAGCCACTAGGCCAACAGTGATTGTATAATACTACGGATAATTTTATTTAAAAAAAATTTAGTCTCCGAGAATGAGATGGAATCCGAGATCTCTACCACCTTTGTTTACAACACAGTGACGTCATTATACTTCGATTTGATACTAGAAAGTGGATATCTTTTTTATTCGTATACTCTAGAATCGGACATACCTGATCTTGCGTCAAGATAACCTGTTCCCCAGGCATTCTGGGTCTCGGGCTGGACTCCGGTGTCTCCACGGGCGAAAACCAGTTCACCGTGGACCCGTCATGCGTGGATCCAGCAGGTAAAAGCGGAGTGCGTTCTGTCACTCCATGAGTTACTAGAATTTCACAACCTTTTGAAATACGTTTAACCATTTCTGTGAGTTACAATGTCTCATTTCACAGCCTGTATTTATCTGATTCCAGCCCCGGATTTAGAGCAACCCTGGAGTCTCCACAAAAGTGACTTCAAAAAAATTCAGACTAGTAAACTGTTCCTTTCCGGGTGATTCTTGGGTCCAAATCTTTAGACTATAGATACGGTCCTTGGTGTAGACCAGTGTCTAAACTAAGGGACCCACAGGGGGCAATTTGATTGTCAATTCGAACATTTATTAAAAATATGTATTTGGAATTGAATGTATTAAAAAATGTGTTTCGATAACAATTCATAAGTAATTTATTCCTAAAACCTATTACCCATTTGATTTTCTTAATCAATACTTAATATTAAAACTTATATGTTACAGAGGCATACGAATTCTAGAAAGGCTAAGATGGGGCATGGGAAACACTGGTTTAGACCAAATAATTTAATTCTATAAGCATGACATACTTTATCAAACGCTTTGGTCAAGTCAAAATGATAAACCTCTGAATTCAGTGAAAACAATTTTTTTAAAGTTCTTACCGATGGCTTCGAGGATCTGCTTCGCCTGCAACTCCTGAGGCAACACCCTGAAGTCCAGGAACCAGGCCTCGCCCCAGGACAACGTGAACGAAGCCAGGATTAGGAACACCTGGTACACTGGTTGGGCCGCATTGGGCCACTGGAAGCAGAACTTCGTGTTAAAGAAAAAATGGGAACGGAAGTCTTAGTGCGTCGGGTTGTCTCTCTCCCTAAAATTTGGCGAGGGGGCCGATGGCTGGCCATGCTACTTGTGGTGACTGGTCGTACTTGAATTTGTGTATGCGGTGATGTTATTTGTTTCCACTATGTATTTGAGTGTTGTTCCCACGAGAATGTAAGTGCGTGCTCCTATTTCACCATGCCTTCTGCTGATAGAGGACAAGTTTTTAATTAATTGTATTATTATTAATTAATTAAGATGTCATGTGGAACATGGTGTAATGGTTGCAGCTCAAACATTGTGTAAAACAAAATACAACACATGGTAATAACTCCTATTTCTTTCGAACAAGGTGCAAAATGCAAGTGCATTGTTCAGGGCTCTTACGATTTAATGATTCGGATTCGTGTTTCCGGGAATACTCGGCTATTGTAAAAAGGATTCGACAAAGACATTTACAAGCATTCCACTAATCTGTGACAGTTTTTGTCACGTGACTTATAACTACAATATTTTTTAATAAATTACGATTATTCTACTCCATTACGCTTTTTAAAGGCACATTATATACAGATTACTCTTAATAACACTTTTATTTGATACTTACATCAAACACGAACACTTTGGCGATCAAAAAGGCACACGTACCGCTCGTTGTGAGCTGAAAAAAATAAGTTTCATTGGAATTTTTAACTTTTTTACAATAAACCTGGACTTGGTACAACAGTGCTCCATGTGGACCGAATTCACTCTTTATAAGCATGCGATGCCCCAGGGTGCAGTACTCAGTACCAGCTTATTCCGCTTTACTGTATTCTACGAAGAGCGGTTCGAATCCTCGATCACTAATCCCTTTCCGAGCTTGACCGCTCGGCGTTGCATAGAAATGAGGGGTCACTCTGCATGACCCCCGCATTTAACATGGAGTGTTTAGAGTTGTTCGAATGCAGCTGAGTTTCATTAGACGTCTCCTCAACGTTCCACAACTGAGCGTTTTTAGCTAGTTTTTGCACCATCACTATGTGGAACCAGCTGCCCACTGAAGTATTTCCGAACCAATTCTACTTAGGGTTCTTGAGGAAAAGACCGTGCCAATTCTTAAAAAGCCAACACCCTTGGGGCATTGAGTGTTCATGGTATCACTTAACATTAGGTGAGCTTCATGACCATTTGACCACTGCTCTATATACCAAGCTTCTTTAGCCATTCTATATGACCACGAAACTGATACCGATATTCTGATGCTGCTGCTTTAAGTCTTCGGAGAGAGAACAAGTATTCGTAAGTAGTAACAGTCCTCGCCAACGCCCATTTAATAGCTAAGTATATATGTATATCGCAGAGCAGTGTTGGCCTAGTGGCTTCAGCGTGCGACTCTCATCCCTGAGGTCGTTGGTTCGATCCCCGGTTGTGCACCAATGGACTTTCTTTCTATGCGCGTATTTAACATTCGCTCGGTGAAGGAAAACATCGTGAGGAAACCAAGACCCAAAAAGTTGACGGCTTGTGTCAAGCACTGGAGTCTGATCACCTACTTGCCTCTTAAATCGAAAAATGATCATGAAACAGATCAGAAATCTGAGGACCAGACCTAAAGAGGTTGTAGCGCCACTGATTTATTTATATTAAAAGTAAAAAAAATTACTCACCGCTATCACACTCCAATTATTAATATATAATATGGCGTAGAATAATATTAATAATAAAAATCTTATTATTGCAACCAGTACTATATCGAATAATGACACTTTGATGTCATAATGTATAATCTCTCTCGTAAATATTTGTATTAATGTTTCACCACGCATCTGAAAATTAATAAAAATATTAAATAATAATTCTTATATACTCTAATAGGTAAAACAAAATGTACACTTATGAACGTCACAAATAAATTTATAAAATGCTTCTAATTTTACATTTATAAATTCTCAAATCAAGTGCGCAGAACGGAAGAGAAGAACTGGCAATAAACTTAGTAAATATAAAATTAGAAGCATTAATATGTATTTCTTTACTGACGAGTCATAAGTGTACATTATGTTACCTAAATGATTTTTTACTTTTAAAATAAATATGGCAACCCATTTCACCACCAGACCAGGTCAAAGACCTGGACCTTAACATACGAATCATTTAACAGCTCGGCCATCCAAATCAGTCCACGAACAGAAGAGTTATGAACAAAAAAAAAAACAACAAATATATAGATACGATAGTTCTATGTATGAATGTGGTCGTTTGTTGTACGTAAATACAATATTTGTTTTTTTATATACGGGACGAGGAGAAAAAACAACAAATTTAACCAATTACAATAATTTCTAATTTGATTGCTATCAATAAGTAAATTACTTTGTTTACTGGCCATATTGACAGTTTCAATGTTTGTTTGCGACTGATACACGATAGGTGACGATGGTGGGTTTAGTAACTGAGACCAAAATTTCCTACAGGCAATTAGACGACTCATTGGTCTAGTGGTTAGTACCCCTGACTGCAAATCCATGGCTCCCGGGTTCGATCCCCGGCTGAGACGAACATCGATGTGATGAGCATTTGGTGTTGTGCTTAGGTCTTGGGCGTTTAAATATGTATTTATATGTCTATCTATCTATAATATGTATGTATATCCGTTGCCTAGTACCCATAACACAAGCTTCACCAGCTTAGCATGGGACTAGGTCAATTGGTGTGAATTGTCTTTAAAAAAAAAATGTAATCTAAGAATAAAATTTGAAAATTCACGTCAAATAGTAATGAAAATAATCACTAAATATTGTTTTAATTCCCACAATAGAGCTGATTTACACAGGGTCAGTAACTGACTACAAATTCGAGAATCGAGGCAAGTCAGTGCTGACCCGAAAAAAACCCTGTGTAAACTGATTTGAAGTCAGTACAGTGGCTTGAAGTCAGCGCTGACTTTAATATTCGGACACGAATATTTTAAAGTCAGTTGGCGCCCCCCGCCACCCGCGCACCCCCGCGCCAGCCAAATAAACCCCGTGTAAACAGACATGAGACAAGTCACTTCAGTGCTTGGTTAGTCACTGCCGCTGCGTTGTAGAGTGACCACGTTTTTTTCGCTGGCGATAAAAATGAAGCTTAGCGAAGACGAAACCTTAAAATTGGTGCAATTATATGGCGAAAACGAGTGCCTTTGGGATATTAAATCCCTAAATTACCGCAATAAAGAAATGCGGTCAACAGCGTTGCAAAATATGGCTCAACAAATGCAAATCGAAGGGCTCACTTCTACTGAAGTAAAAAATAAAATTAAAGCCATAAGGGCTACATAGTACATATTATTTAGAGCTCGACAAGATACAAAAATCCACCAGATCTGGCGCTAGTGGGAACGTATATGTCCCAAAAGTCAAGTGGTTTCAAGAACTGGACGGCTTTATAAAAAATGCTATTGTAAATAAATAAATAAATTTTTCAACAAATAATTAAATCGTCGTTTCAATTGTTTTCGCGAATTCATTTTTCCCACTGACTTCACACACGTGTGCTCATCGTGAGAAACGCACCACTACTACGTACTTCATGTAAACAGTTAAAGTCAGTCGCGGCGCCGACATTGGCGCTGCGACTGACATGTCTACTTACCCAGTGTAAATCAGCCATTAGTTTAACTTCACTCCAAATGTATATACAAATTTAGAAAATAAAATTAAACAAAACATGATAAATGATTCCTTTATATAACATATTTAGCGCTAAATATTTTATATTATAACTGCCAACCAAACTGACAATCATGACTTTATCTCATTTTAACGAATCGGAATGGAGTCGAAAAATAAGGGACAGATATATTCGTTAGTTTTGGCGCCGTTATTGACAAATTTAATGTTTACGCTGTCATGTGACATATGTCATTTATCGGCCTTATTAAAAATACATTATGTCAAGTTTATGTAATTTAATTTTCGCAAATCATGGATTTTATACAACATTTCGTGTTGACTACGCGTTTATAAAGTTTTGTAATATTTCGTTATGTAATAATAATTATTTAATTTAAAACTTTACCCAACTGTCAAAGACAGCTCTTTTTTATTTAATCCAAGATGGACTCCTAACTACGTAAGCCGTGGCTTCGGCCTTTAAAACTACCAAAATTCTCCAATTATTGCCAAGAACAAGACCTGGCTATATGGACTAAAGTCTTTTGCCTTTCACATTAGGGATAAATTAATATAATCATCTTATTTATTTAATGACGAATTTTGGCGCCATAACACAGACACATAATGTAAACAAATTACTAGTCATAAGTAAATTCGAGCATAGATAATTACTATTCTATTATGATAGCTATTTTATCTGAACAATTGTTCGGTAATTTAATGATTTATAACAATATAATGATTTAGCTGTTTAGCAACTTTTCGTTTTTCGTTAAAAAAATAGCAGGCTCGTGTAAAAATAACACAATTTGTAAAAAAATATGTCTTTAGTGATAAATATTATTATTTTCATTAGTAGTAGAATTTTAAAAATAGCACAATTTCCTAAAAATATCAGCGTTGTGTTAAATACTATTTATTTTATAGCAACATTTTTGATATTAAAATCGTATAAAAATAACAGCCTTTGGTAGAATTTTGAAAATTTCTGCTATATAGCAGTAATTAGTGATACTTGTAATTTGTATATAAATAAAATAGCAGCATATTTTAAAATCGCAGACTAGTGTTATAAATATTGTTGTTATAAATAATAGCAGATTGTTATAAATAAAATAGCAGATACTTACCACAACACATATAAGCCACATCAGACTGGTAAAAAGGAGGTCAAACGTGACAAAGAGACAAAAAAATCTTCGTATACTGGACATCCTCCCTTGAGGCCTGTGACCCGCAACCAAGTCCTCGGACAAGAGATTCACTGACTGCGATTGAGCTGAAAATATTTTAGGATGTCAGGTGAAGCTGAACGAGTGAGAGGGAGAATCTCTTTCCTATTCTACACGTTTGATAAGGAAACAAGTCTCGTTTGAGCGCTGTCAAATATGTCAAACTTCATACAGATAAAATAGTTTGACAACTGACACTTTTTTTATATAACAAACGGACAGTAAGGCTCACCTGATGTTAAGTGATATGCCCAAGAAACCTCTCAATTTCAGAGCTCGCAAATGCGTTGTCGGCCTTTAAGGAATTGGTAAGCTCTTTTTAAGGACCCGAAGTGGTATGGGTTCAGAAATACCTACCGCTCATGGACACTTACATTGCCAGAGGGCTCGCGAGTGCGTTGCCGGCGTTTTAAGAATTTGTATTATTTTCTTGAATAAAAGTCTAGAATTTCCCTTTTTCTTTAAAAACAGATTCATGTTGGTAGTATACGAGGACGCCCAGAAGTAATAAAAAAATGGTGCGTGTACTTATGTACGCGCGCAAGAAGTTATACTTCTTTGGCTTTCTTTATTTTTTTAAATATTAAATAATTAATAATAAATATTTAGCGTTAATAATTTCACGATATTTAATATTTAGTGTATTTTTCAAGTATTAATTAATATTAATAATAATTATTATTTATTATATTATTAATTGAATTTAATAACTATGTATGTTTCATAACCTTTTAACTAAGTAACAATAGGTCTTTGTGAAAAAGCATTGCTAAATTTATTTGAAAAAAAAAATTAAAACTCCTTTATTTGTTTAAAAGGTACTACAAATGTCATTATGGTCATTCAAAATTCTTGGCATAGCTGCTAACGTCACGCATATTCTATTTCTTTTTACTTGTAGATTGTCTTATTCCCATCTCGCTCGCGCACGCTCGGCGCCTATACTGATAATTTTGTGTCACGGTGCGCGCGCATCGTATCATGTAATCAAACCATGAACGAACGTTTTTAAAATGGCGAGTGGATTTTATTATTTAAATTATATACCCAAACTTCTGTACGGCCTTTGGGATATGCTGCCAAGCAGCGACTCCGCTGCCTCGCGGATGTGATAATCAGCCATCTGAAATTCAAACACATAAATAAAAAAATACCCTTGACCCTGCCGTCAGATATGTGTGCAATCAGGCAAAGGCTGGTCACCGACTTGCATATTACATCAAATCATAAAACAGATAGGGGCCGTTCAAGTATTACGTATGCAGATTTACTTTATCCCCCTCCTTTTGTCAGCAAAAGTCAACAAAGCTCTCAAAAATAATAGTACGTTTTCAACCATAGACAATGTGTAAGAAATATGTGTATATGTGTCTTGAGCAAATTTGGAGAATGCCATGAAAATTTTTGAAGAAAATTATCCTTATTTTGAGAGAAGTTTCAACGTTACTAACAAAATTTGTGCAGCCTATTAGTGTTACCAAGATCTGTATGATAGCATGAAGAAAGAAGCAAATCAATCTAGAATTGATAGTTTCTTTAAGCCAAAAGTTTAATTTATTCTTTCTCATTACATATTTTGATTACATATTAAAGTTTTATAATTATTATTAAAATTAATAACACACAAATACTTAAAATAACTAGCAATTTCATAAGTGCATATAGTATAATTATTTTAAGAAGTTACTTTTGACAATAAAGTATGTATATGCTTTGTTATGCAGTTTTTTTTTTAATTTCGAGTCCGTGTGGAACCTAACCCTTGAGTTTTACATGTAAACATACGAAAAAATATGTCTCGACTTACGTCGCGTATTTCGAGAACCTAACATGAAGCTATGATAAATTTACAAATGATTAATCCAAATCTAGTTCAAGAGTTGAAACATCAAACATTTCAACATTACACAAAACAACAAACAGGTCACTGTTATCGCTATATATTAAGATAATAAATAAAAATAAGCAAATGTGAGTCGCTGAAACCATTGTCATAGATTAATTGAAACCACTGTATTGATTGGGTCAATCAATTCACTTTTGTCTATGTGGTCTGTCAGTCACTTGCTGGTATGGACACATATAATATGGCTGATCATTCATCTATGAACGAAAGCCGAGGCTTAAACTAGTGTGTTGTAGTGCTACTGGATTATTAAAATAAATTTCAATATTTGTATCCAGTTTGACAGACTTGCTCACTGGTTTCTTATTTTGTAGTTTTAGATCATACAAACAGATGTGGTCATTACATTTTAAATGTAAATATTAGCCTAGTAGTTGTATTATCGCTGTATGGTTGTATTATACATTATCTGTATAAAATTTTACAGAATTTATATTTACTACTAGCTGACCCGGCAAACATTGTTTTGCCATGTATATTATTTCTAGGAATCATTTTTTACTTTAATAAAAATAACTATCTACACTAATAAAAAATAGAGGTTGATCATAGAGGGGTGAAAATTAAGGGTTGTATGTATTTTTTAATGCCACATAATTAATAAAAAAGTTTAAAAAAAGAAATTGTTTGGGGTGGACACCCCTATTCACTTAGGGGTTTGAAAGATAGATAGTAGCATATTCAGACTTACTGAATATGCAGAAAAAAATCCATAAGAATCGATCGAGCCGTTTCAAAAGAGTATGGGATCGAACATTGTGACGCGAGAATTTTATATATGTACTATAGTACATAAAGCCAACCAACGCTATAACACTATAGAAACTGCATTTTTGTATTATTATTACTGTATATAGTGACATGGTGATTAGTTAAGTATTGCTTACTTAAGATGTAATATGGAACATGGTTCAATGGTTGCAGCTCCTTACAAACATTGTGTTAACTGTAAACCAAAAAACTTGGCGATTAAAAAGAGTGGCGGAGAGTTTATTGCCAGTTCTTCTCTTCTGTTCTACGCCCTTGATTTGAGAATTAGCAGTAAATGTTAAATAAGAAGCATTTCATATATTATATACTTTTAATTTCATAAGTGTAACACAATGTTACCTATTTATTATTAGCCCAATTTTAAACTACTCATAGTCAAAAATTATTACAAAGATGGTACATTATTGTATGTCCGCATATATTTCACTGTGCGACCTTAATGGACCTTTTTAAAATGTACGTATATAAACTACTATGTTATCACTCAGATTAAAGTTACAAATAATTTGTTTTGGCTAATTTTTATCATTAAATGCAGTGTCCTTGTTAACAAGTTGTGTCCTCTGTATAAATAATGAGTCATCTATATTCAGAATTATGAATTAAATATGAATATCTAAACAAAATCTATCAAATTACCTTGTCTTGTGTACAGTTGCTCACATCACATGTATATTATTTAAATGCGTTTGGTGGGTTTAATTACGATTAGGACATCTCGTTTTACTTAAATTATAAAAAAAAATATTATTAATAAGCACTTAAACTTTATTTATAAATATAGTCACCAATTTTTGTAAAAGTAAAAAACTTGTTCAACACAATAGAATTATTTTAATTTATTCTATTGGTGCATCGACTGTCACTTATGAGCTGTGACAATTGATACTTTTTGTTTGTCAACTGACAGTTACACAACTATAAATCTAACATGATTTATTATATAATTAAGGGTATTCATTAATTTATAACGTGTAAGTATAAAGTAAGTGTTAGAATTGTTACATAGCTAATATAATTGATAATTTTTTTGAATTATGAACAAAAGTTGTCAGTCCTTCTTTCTCATTTATCACCAACTGTAGTCTGTAGTCGAATATAAATGGCGCCAAAAACGCTTCGTAACACCATCTCGTTTATTAATAAAGGTGGGAACTGACCAACGTTACGATGTGTAATCTCCTCCGCTGAAGTGTCTTCAATTAAAGTCGACTTTTAGTCGCGCTTATAAGACACTTCTACTTATTCAACAAAAGTCCCACGAAATGTAGTTTTTATCCACCCATAAAACAAACAAATATCTACTTATTTACGTTTATTCTTATTTTTAACTTTTAATTTAATTCTATTTATTATACACCGTTACACACAATTTACTCACACTTCTAACTCTAATATTATTATTATTATTTTTCTACTTGGTATTATAATTATTTATTTTATTTTATTAGAGGCGCAAACTAGCTGCTATGGTCTCTGGCAGAATGACCAGCGCTGTGGAACTTTTTGCTCCTCAGCATAATGCTGAGCCAGGGCCAATTACAACCACAGTACACACACATTGCACACTGGAAGCGAACCGAATGGCAAAAGAAAATTTCTTAATTTGAATTTTTAATTTTATTCTATTTTATTTTATGTTTTCTTTAAGTATTGTTATTTTGTGTGTTTATGTGTGTGTTTTTTGTTTGTAATAAATGTTATGTCTATGTCTAATGTAACACGTTACACAGCGAGCATTCGTGCAGTCAGTACGTCGTGTTACGGGGAAACCAGCGAGCAACGAGCCGCTCGTTGCTCGCTTTGAGTGCTCCACCCGGCTGTCGGTTTTTTGGCGAATCCTTTGACTGTTACGCGGTTCAGTCAGGACGCGTCGCACGTCGCGAGTTATCATGATTATGATTTTCTATAAATTGTGTCTTTTTAAAGTACTTTTGGTCCAATTAAATTCAACAGTTCTTCAAAATCGAAACATGCGTAAAAAGTTTTTATACTGTCCAGTAATCGTTTGGTTTTTAATATTGCAATCAATAACAAACCACCTCATACGCCTGTGTTTTTAAATAAGTTTGATGTCCAGTAACATTTTTTCTTCTTCTTCTTAATTTGGATGAAACAATAATTAAATAGATTGAAAGATATCAACACGTCCTCGCTGTCGGCCATCTCCTGAACACTGGCGGCGAAAGCGGAGCACAGAGTTTTGACGAGCATGTTACGCCGATTTTAAAACACAGCGTAACATGCTCGATGCGTAACACGCTCAAAACGAATGCTACATTACACCTCGTAACTTTGGTCAGTTCCCACCTTTACATACTTTATGGTATCTATCCCTGCTATCCCTTATTGTACTCAACATTATTAGTCTTAGGGATGATTGGGTACAATAAATTAGAAACAGAAAGGACTAACAGTTGGCGTACTATCTACTTAAAGTCTCGCGAGGGTTGAGAACTTCTTCAAGAACTCGGTTTTTTTGTACCTATGGGATATATATAATATGTGCGACAGCGAAGGTCTAGGTCGCAGAGTGAGTACACAGTACGGCGGCGGTATCACTAACATCAAATGAACTGCCTGCCCGTTTGCCCCCTGTTCTATAAAAGGGCAAACTCTTAACCGGGCTACCCCTACTTAGCGTCCCAAGGCAACAGTGCGGCTGCAGGACTGGTGGTGGTGGCTAGTAATAATCACCTAAATGCAGAACAAAGTTTGGTAAAATGAAATGCACAAGAGGTCCGGGGGTCCCGCCGGCTCGCATTCGTTCATAAATATTATGAGAATTCCGGAGTAGTTACGGCGGAGTAGTTTGGCAATTTTAATTTTTTAAATTAGTTCATTTCTTGAAACATTTGGTTTGGTCGTGATTAAGATGTCAAAATAACAACAAAAATTCATAAAATTTTCTTTAATTCAACAAATATATATTCTACAAATTCCACAAAATATACTACTTCATATGTCACGTCATGTATGTTAAGGGTAAGTAAGATTCAAGAGATTACAGAAAGCTTAGTCTATGCTAAATTATTGAAATTTGGCGCGAAATAAGCTATAGCGTATTTATGAGTGTACTGTAGTTTTACTCATGACGATATTAATTTTGTAGATTTACGCCCGAACCCAATAACCTATCTCAACCCATAATCCACCATCTGAGATTGTAATCTTCATCTTGTTCCAATAACCAATCGACGGATTGTAATAGCCATTTGTCGATACAAGCTATCCATGGGAGGTCGTATCGGTGTCTATGAAAATGACAGTTGACGAAAGGTCGATTTCAACAGTTAATTATTTTAACAGTTTTAACTTACACCAGTTTTTTTAAATATTAAATTTTTTTTTTATGTTTTATTCATAGGTAGGCACACGTATATTTTAATGTTATTTGTATGGTTTTATTCACTTTATTTGGCTTACATTGACTATCAAATATGAGGGAAAACTCGGTAAAATGGAACGACAAAGAGCATTTTATCCGTCGGCAAAAATGGATTATCTTCGTAGGGTTTGGTTATTGGGATGCAGATAGGAAATCGATCGACTGTCTCGGTCTTGAAAACAATCTGAGATTGTGGATTAATTATTGGGTTCGGGCGATACTCAATTGTACCCTAGATAGCGGTTTTAATAATTTCGCGCCAAATTGAATACCTTCAGCTCCACAGATAAGTTAAAAAGTTTCCTTTACCAAAAACAACAAAACCTAGTCTTTGATTGACAACTTTAAATACGATTATCTTAACAGCCCTTTACCACATTTACATACATCCAACTGGAAATAAATACCCAGAATAACCGAAATAATCGCCAGTGATACACTCTATACTCTACCACCTGACAATTGACAACGCGTTTGTTTAAATGCGCTGCCCCCAGAGCTAAGTGCACTAATAAGCACATTACTTTCATCAATTTCCGTAGTAATTAATATATATTTTTTCCTTTTCGTCGATGTAATGTATTGTAATAGTTAAAAAAAGTACTAAACTCATTACACTGAAAAGCAAAAGCGTATACAATTGTTTCACTGATTAAATATAATTACGGACGATACAACCGCAGATTACGACGGTAATTTTGACGAATGTCTAGAACGTAATAAGTAACGTACCACTCTTTTCGCGTAAATATTACTAGAGAGATATATCATTACCACTATTTGGTTTTAAACTGTCGCATTAACTTTTATGATTACAGTAAAACCTGGTTAAGTGAGACATCAAGGGACCTGCAATGTCTCAGATATACAGGTATAAATAAATATCTGTCTCATTTACAGAGGGTTCCATTAATAGCGGTTATTTCAGTTATAGAGGTGCGATCATTAAATAAAATAACGTGTTATGTTCCTATGTTCCTCAACTCATTTACATAAATGAGTTGAGGAATTATGTGTGGAATTTGTGGGTAGAATAAGAATGAGTAAACAAACAATGTTATCTCAGTTACAGAGGTTTATGCATATAAAATTTACTCGCTATCTCAGTTATAGAGGTAACTATGATGATAAATCGAAAGAACAAATCCTAGATATAGAGGCTTACCTCGTCCCACTAACAGAGGTAATTCAGTGCCAAAGTGTTGGGACCTCAGCATGAGTTCCAGTTATGGAGGTTTCTCACTTATGCAGGTCCCACTTAACCAAGTTTCACTGTGTTTGGTTTTTCAATCTAAACTAAAACTATCTTTGTGGTTGATGCTGTAGCTGTCAGGATAGTAAAATTAAATTAGTTATACGAGTATTACTAACATTTATGAATTAATAATTATTTATCCCAATAAATATCTTAAATCAATAAATACAGAACATTTTCTCTAGTTCTTTTATGTCGATAAAAAAATCATATAGGGATGGACTGATTTTAAAATTGTCTCGTATCTAATACCATCTTGCTGTCCCTACCCCAACTCTATTATCTGGTGGGTCCCTCGCACAGCAGTACGAAGCCAGTATACCAATAGTAGACAGGCCCAAAGATAGAACACTGATGCTGCACACAGCACCAGAGGTGATGTCGTTCAAAGCTGTTCCAGATTTCGGCTGGATGCAGAGGAGGAGTAGTAGACCAAAAGCGCTGAGGAGCGAGAACGATGATAACACGATGTAACCTACAAAAATGATATTAATAAACCTTCTGGTATACCAGCGTCAGGTCCCTGAGGTCGTAGGACCATGGAACCAATTTAATGGGCAATTAGCATTTGTATGAAGAAAGACATCGTGAGGAATTAGACCCAATCAGGCAAAGGCTGATCAGCTACTTGCCTCATGAAACAGATACATAGGACCCAGACGTAAAAGGTTGCAGTGCCGCAGGTTCTTTGGTGATACAGTGTAAACTCCATGTTACGTCTCTCGATTTAACGATCCCGTAAAGCGCCGAAATCATTGGCTTTGGTTGTTTTAGCGTGTCTCCCATACAATGATATACTCTACATACAATTAAATACAAAAGTACTTTTTACGTTGCCGATTAGTTAAAACTGCGGAGTCCTAGCGAGAAATGAAGTCGACTGTCGGTAATCGTCGTACGTACCGAACTTTCCAAATAATCCGTTTTTTTTTTACAAATTGCGCATGCTTGCATGTGCTTTATCGCGAAGATGCATCAATATCGTAAGATAGAATTAAAAAGTAAAAAATTACAACAGTACAATATCAGACAACACAATAGCGTTCAAATACGAATTGTTTTTATGTAATTACTAACACTAGACTGAAATAAACTTTCTTTTTTAAATACAGATTTTTCTTTGCATTAAACGGCATCTCTTTGTAACGTCAAAATAGGCACAGTCCCTTGAGTGTCGTTATATAGACTTTACACTGTACATTACTGCGATGACATCCAAGAACGCCGTATCAAAGTATTTCCCGCTGAGAATATAAACAACCTTCACTTGGCCAAACCAGACCGCCTCTCTAAAGCCTCCATCCTGCCAGGCGATTGACCACCACGCGACGACCCAAGCCGAGGTCCGAGTCTCGCAGGAGACACCCTTGGTGTGGACAAGACCATCGGCAGAGCTACGCTCGCCAAAACAGCCCGAGCTGTTCTGTCTAGGCCGCCTAGGACAATCTTGTCAAAGGAAACCCTGGTCGAGGATCCTAATAATTGAGATCTGGTTTCTGTCGCTCTTGGAAGTTACCCGGAGGGCCCAGGTTAGTCTAAAGTACGGTCTCCTCACGATATCTCGATGAAATATCTATTTGGATTTTAAACACCTCGGGTTGGTATCTTAAACTTACCGGAAATATAATTCCTATTTGGCAAAAGTTGGTTACGTCTTGATCTAAGGCCTAATAAACCAAGCAGGAAGCAGGTGAAACCGGAAAGAACACCAAAGTCCAGGTAGTAACGGCGTCCCAACTAAAAAATATTATAAGCAGCTGAGTTTCATCATCGGACGTCGAGGCAGAATACGAAATACCATCCGTATCACCTCCACGTCCGTCGTTCCACAACTGAGCGTTTCTTTAGGCATTTATTGCCACGCGCTACCACTATGTGGAACCACCTACCCACTGAAATAAAATAAAAGAGAGCCTTCTGGCAATGTCCATGGCTGGCGGTATCACTTAACATCAGATGAGCCTCCTGCCCATTTGCCTCGTGTCATCTAAAAAGGGCGGGCAACGCACTCGTGAGCCCGCGTTTAGAGTGTCCATTGGCGGTATCACTTGATCGGTGATCGCACGGTGAGCCTCGTGCGTGCATGGTCTGGATATGTATAGCCCACATGGAAATCAATTTTCTCAATGAAAATTTAAGTGATTTTCACATAATTCAATATATGCAAGAAACACGCACCAATGTATCAGTGTGCCGTTGGCAAGCTTAAATGAATAAACTCTTCTCTTTTCTTCTATCGTTAATCTGCATGTAAATATACTTACAGAATACATCATGTAGAAACTAAGTCCTGTTGTCAAACCGCCGCAGAGCGTCAGCATTAATGCAGCTATGGTTAGAGAAGCAGCAGCACCATTTTGTTTAAAACTCAAAGACTTATATGTGTCTTCGGAGTATGTAGATGGGGCTTCAGCTACCCTGCAAATATGTCAGGAAACATAAGCTTTTGTTAAAAAGGGGGGGGGGTCCTACACAACTTAAAAGAAAAGAAAATCACGTTAAAAGAGAAAGTGCACTTGCCCACTAGGAGACCCTGTGTCGTATAGTCTCTTCCATTAGATATATTAATGATTTTAGGCACTTGACGTGAAAAACTCTACATAATAATAATGAGGGATGCTACTACGTTTTGGCCTGGGCCTCAGATTTCTGTATCTGGTGGTTCTGGTGACTCCAGAGCTGGTGCTATCCTTAACGAATAATCGCAATACAGCGAGGTAAGCATTAAAGACCAAACCAAACGTTTTAAAGTGGTTTAACTATCTATTTATTAATTTTTAATAATTATTACTACGAGCGGACCCCACAGACGTTGACATTACATTTCAAGCGATTAGGATATTAAACAAAGTATGAAAGTACCGACTGCAGCGCCATTTGCCAGGCATATTTGTGTATCTAAACCATCCAGGGCTCCACCCAAACGCATACAAAAAATTCATTCAAATCAGTCCAGCCGTTTAAGTGGAGTTCAGTGACATACACACGTACAGTAGAATTATATTACGTATATGTAAGCTATCCTATCTTTTAAGTTAGATCAAACTGCACACGGTGTGCAAATTTGATTGAAATCGGTTAAGCAGTTTAGGAGTCCTTAGCCGACAAACAACGTGACGTGTAATTTGTATATATTAAGATATAATGTATATTTGTGAGTAGGAAAAAAATTAAAATAGGAAAAAAATAAAATAAATTTGGGGCAACATAATTGTTTCATACTTAACAGTCCAATGTTTTGTTTTGGTAAATATATTATGCATACACGCTATTAATATGTTTTTAATTAGATTTTTATTATATCCAGTGATATATATGTATTGTTATCGTGTTTTCATTTCAAAATAGCGATTGTCCTACGAAACGGGGTGCACAAATTAAACGAATTTTTAACTATATTTAATGCGAAAATACGTGCCTCTAAGGATCCAAGAAATAATTATCAATATATAATATAATTATTCTATCTTAATATATATATTTCTTCTGTGCGTGTGTATGTGACTGAACTCCTCTCAAACGACTGGACCGATTTTGATGAAATTTTTTGTGTGTGTTCAAGGGGATCTGGGAATGGTTTAGATTCACAAATCAGCCCGGCAGATGGCACTGCAGTCGGTACTTTCATACTTTGCTTAATATCCTAATCGCTTTAAATATCATGCAGGACAACGTCTGTGGGGTCCACTAGTCTTTATGTAATATATTAATGCAAAGCAGCGTGCGACTCTCATCCATTAGGTCGTTGGTTCGATCCCCGGCACCAATGAACTTTTAATGCGCATTTAACGAAAACAAAGGAAAACATCGTAAGCAAACCGGCTTGCCTTTACACAACACGACGGCGTTACAGTAACAGAAGGCTGATCACCTACTTGCCTATTAGACAAATGAAACAGATACAGAAATCTGAGGCCCAGACTTAAAAATATTGTTTTTTTTATTATTATATATTTACAGTTAGTATTAAGCTTAACAGAGAGTACTGCGCGTTTGATCCGTTTTTAAAAAAAAACTTACCGTGGCATAATAACAGCCGTAGTCCTGTCTCTCTTCTCTCTAACAAACACATCATGTCTATCAAACTCCGGCAGGCCATAATTCAGCTTCTGTTGGGCTTTAGGGGAAATTGGTGATGTGGTACTTAAATTGGCGCAAGATTTCGACGGTGTCATATTCGTTGGCGTACTTGATACCAGTTTAATGGGGGTCCTCTGTTTTGGACTACGCACTGACGGCTGACTGCCGTAGCTCTTCAGCTTCCTTGGGGTTGATAAGAGTTCGTGGAGTTTCTGGGTCGCAATCTTCGACGCTATGTCTTCATCAGGGACGATCGCGTACCTTAAAGTTTTCCCGTTCACAGTCTTGACAATTTCGCTTGGTATCGCCTTCAGTTCGTTCAGATCTGGTGCGTCCACATTGTACTCCTCGATCTCGCTTTCATCAGCCTCGATGATGCGTTTTTTGGTTGGTGAATAGTCTGTGTCATAGCTATCATAGCGTAAAGAGAGCTCTTGTTGCTGCTTCAGTTGGGCCATCTCTAAATCCTCGCTACGTGACCTGCAATGAACGATCGCTCGCGTCGGCTTACACATCAAGGAAGCTTGACGGTGGAACCTGGCGGGTTTTGGGGGCAGTTCAGGAGGCACGTCTTTGAGTCTTGATATACGTAGAGGATTATCGGATATATCTGTTCGTAGTATTCGTTTGTCCGAGCGTGGTGTGTTGGTGCCAAGTGGTGGTACCCGCTTGCGTTCCGGTGACACAATTCTTGTGCATTTCTGGGCATATTCACTCGCGCAGAACGCTGGGTTGGAGTAATATTTGTAGACAATCTTTGGTGACTCCATTGAGTTCAGTTTTTGTATCTTATGCTCAGAGCATTGGCTTACGCGTCTTAACCACGGTTATTATTAAATAAACTAAAACAGTTTAGCAAATTACACTTAGTTCACACAACTATAATAAACACTAATGTGCGACGCACGATATATATTTTGTTTTAACGCTTTTGTTGCAGTTTAAATTATTAGTTATTACACACGCCAATCCGATCCAACGGTTAACCGTCAACTGAATAGGGGAATTTTCGAAAAGGCTAGGGTCGGAAATGGCGCGCGCGCACCCCAACGTTAGCACGCGCTGAATTAATTACACAACCAGTGGGACTTATTAATATGAATGTAAGATACAATTTCGTTAAACATAATTTAAGGTCGAATTTTAATAGTTTTCTATAAATGAGGGCCCGGTGTGAAGGGAAAACTAAGTAATAATAACAAAATAACTTGACATTTTCAAATGTATTTAAAGTCCCAATTGAAAAATGGGACATTGTTGCTAGTTGGTGTTGTGGCTAGATGCGCAATTCTTATACAAAAGTGTTTGAATCAAAGCTTCACATGATTGTCCAATTTACTAGTACAGTGAAGGATAACATCGTGATACTAGTCCGTGTAGGCACAGACGGCTGATCACCAACTTGCCTCATGAAACAGTTAAATAAGAGGCCCACACCTAAATGGATGTAGCGAGAACATCATAATACCTTCATACGTACGAAGGAAGACATCTTGAGGAAACCTTAGACCCTTAGAAGTGGACACTCACACTGTCAGAAGGCTCGCAAGCGCGCTGCCGGCCTTTTAAGAATTGGTACGCTCTTTTCTTGAAGGTATTGTATGGTTTCCTTTTCTATATTATAAGTGTAGATATGAATAATTAGAGACAGAATTTACTGATAAGCTGATAAAGAATAGATGAAAATAACCAGCATTTAAACCTTTTAAGTATGTATCGAACCATTTCTCTTAAATGTATTACTTTTTAGGTCTGGGGTCGTAGATTTCTGTATATGTTTCGTGATTGTCAATTTAATAGGCAAGTAGGTGATCGGCCTCCTGTGACACACGCCGTCATGTAACGTGTTGGGTCTAAGGCAAGCCACTTTCCTTACAATGTTTTTGTGCACAGCCGGGGATCGATGAGAGTCGCACGCTGAATCCACTATGCCATTCTTAACCTAAATAGTAATATTACATAAATACAAAATTAAAACAAATTTTAAAGTCCCTAAGTTAAACCTTCAATGCCGGCATTTCCTCGCTGTATTGCGATTGTGCCTTGAAGAAACCACCAGCTCTGGGGTCACCTACCAGGCGCCAACTTAAATATTTAATTAGCGTACCAAACATAAAGCATGCTCTGCCCATGCCCAGCTTTTGTGTGTGTCCCATGGGGATGATACTAACGTTTCAACACAGCATCCCATAACAGGCCTAGCCACCAAAGGTTCAATGACCCAATATGGTCACATCGTCCGTTACTTAAATTATATCTAACCAAAAATATAGCAAAATTTTATCGCATAAAAATGGTTAACAAAATACTAAAATAAAAATCTTGTCTCTGTGGTAATAATAATGCCGGCATTTTCTCATCCTATAATTTATATTTGAGGTTATTACTTTTCGAAATTATACCTATTTGATTAGACGCCGTAGAACACACGCGAACCTTTCTACGTACCTATAGAGATTCTTATGATATCCTTCAATATTTTCGCTACTAAACTTTAAAATTGTGCAATGAAACAAAACTAACGGCTTAACAACAATACTTACTTTCACTAACTTTTTTGAACAACGACCACACCTCATCATACACGCCGCTTTTCCTCCTTCAGAAGCCCTATCTTTAACCGCTTTCTTAAAATCAAAATTTTCACTATCAGTTCAATTCAACTTTATACTTTCACTAACAATCTTTAGCAACATCTTCTGTTTTATGCCGAAGTGCTATGGAGAATTTATTAAATTAATATGTCAAATGGAAGAGACACAAGGAATCCTAGTGGACTAGTGCACTTTCTCTTTTAATATCCTTTTTTATTGTGTATTGTGTAATATCTTCTTTCACATGATAAGAGATAAGTGGTCAAACTCAAACAACAAAACAAGAAAATTTAATTCTTTTCCCTCCAAAACTTACGTAACGCATTTTTTTTCGTAGAGGCCGCCACGTGCCGTAACGGTTAAAAACAGCTGTCCGGGTGCAGCTGCGGACAGGGACAGCGCACCTTTGGTTAAATAACTATGAATTGTATTCGAAACGAAGTAAGAATCCAGCTATTTCATTTTTAATGGAACAGGGGGCAAACAGGCTGGAGGCTCACTTGATATTGAACCCATGTACATTCTCTTAATGCCAGAGGGCTCGCGAATATACGCTATTAGAAGGACCCTGTCAACGTTCCTATTTTTATACTAAGATATATCTGTCTTAATCTATATCTATACAGCAAGCAGTGTTGGCCTGGTGGAACCCTGTGTGTGTACATTGGACTTTCTGTCTTTGCGAAGAAAACGTTAAATTCGTGAGGAAACCGGCACGGTTTGAATCCAAAAAACAAACAACCTGCGGGTGGAATTTCGTAGTCTGCCTGCGACGTGATGAAATAAAAATGAAACTCATCTGCAGGTATTAATCCGAACAACTAATCACCTACTTGCTTAGTAAGAGAAATTATCACGAAACAGATACAAAAATCTGAGCCGCAGACCTCAAAAGGTCGTAGTGTCTGTGATATATTCTAACTCGCATAAAACATTTTATAAGTTGTCATAAACAGCAATTTTTGTGTGGGACTGAAGGCTCACGAGCAAACGGGTCACTTTGAATAAAATGATAACCGCCACCCATGGACACCAGCAACCGGGGCTAGCGGGTGTTTTGTCGGCATTTCTGCGTTACTTGAAGCTTGTTTCAACTATATAACTATACTTTAATAAATTTTGTATTTTCTTTAGTAATTCACATTGACGCAAATGTTTCTTACCTCTGACAATTGTGAATAGGGTGATCTATACGTCTCTTTCACACCTTTGTTGTGATATTTTTTGCCATTTTGATAATTCTGACATTGACCTTACATCGACTACTAAGTAGTAGCAGCATAGTATTTTTATATTAAGTATGTATATAGCTCCATCACACCGAACGACGCTTGACCCAAAACTTACGCATCGAAATAAACTTCCTTGTCTCTTTTAATTTATTTTCATCAGTTGTTTTAAGAGTTTCAATATAATATTTAATAATAAACGGTAAGTAACTATTCGTTTTAAATGAAGAAGGCAGTGTAAACCCAACATAGTGTTTTAATTAAAACAATGCTATTTGAATTTTAAAATACTACTTAATATAAAGCGTACCTAATATGAAAAATTCCAAACAATTTTCTTTTTAGAGATTTTAGTAAACCTTCTGTAATTATTTAAAGATGATTGCATGACCATATCCCTGGCATTTTTTTTTATGGCTCTGGCACGGTTTGTGCATTAGCCAGCGTCCAGTATAAGATTTTTATAATTCGTGCTTGCCTTAGAAATTCGACCGTGTCTTCCATGTACGGTTTAAGCACTCGCCTGGCACCGCACAACCCTCCCAAAGGCCGAGAACAAATTTAAATAAAATTAAAACTTGCCCTCGAACCGGGAATCGAACCCGGTACCCCTGACCTAGCTGCCACTTAATAAGACCGCTAGGCTATGAGGCCCTCATCCCTGGCATTGGCTGATACGAAAGCTGACGGACTGCAGTTGGCAGTCCACAATGCAGTGATGCCAACATTGCCAACTCCTACAGAATGTTCCCCCTAGAACCAACTTCAAATATCCCTAAATATCATCAAATCTCGCTTTTATAGTTTTATATAAAACTATACAAGAGGCAAGTTGTACAGAGATGGCAGTTATATGTATTTTGTTGTTGAAGTCATGATTTGATTATGCCAAGGGCAAATTATTATTCTATAGTCTTCCGTTTTATTCGTCTCAAATAGTCAAATCTGTAATCTGTGCAAATTGTATATGCATACCTCACCTAATACATTACCTATATTGTAGAATTAAGAATACCATTATTGATTAAATACTATTGGACATTGCATTGCCCATTTGTGCGAACTTCACGAGTCTAGCGCTGATTATCGTGTACGAACTACTAATTATGAATTATTAAATACAATTAAAACTCAAGAAATATATGCTCGCCCAAAAATGTCTCGGTGAATATTTTTGTAAGTGCTGAATACAAGGTGTAGTGAAATATTAAGTTTCGCGTTATAAATAGTGTTAAAGGACGAATCCTATTGACAATGATCTGTCATTAATTTTATTGTGACTTCTAATGGCTGAAGCCCTTAACTTGTGAATCCTATATAAGTGATCGAAATATGTTTCCCTTAACACCGCCCGTGGTAAAGCGCTTATTAGGGTGGAAAAAAGGTCCTGAAGGAACTTCAGCCGCCGAGGACAAATGGTCAGAAAAGGCCGTGAAGAGTTTAGTAAAGAAATTGAAGAAAACTGGAGCTATCGAGGAGCTTGAGAAGGCGTTGTCGAATCAAAGCGGTCATACCAAATGTGTTACAATACCAAGGTAACATATTTCTTTGTTCATCCACATAGATTAGAGTTCCCTTTAATAATCTTTTATAAGAATGACTGTGAGAAATCATTTTACTTAATTTTATCAGCTGATAAGGATATTGGTTTTTTTATTCATATAAAAGATTAAAAGGAAGAAAAATGAAATACGCCAGTATGGCGGGAGGAGGGGGAGGGTTATCACCCCCAACCCCTTCCAGCAACAGCCGAAAACAGTTACTTTAAAAAAAAATCTTTATTCATAAAATGTTCACATAATTTGAAATACACTGTTGTTACTTACTGTATTGTGTTGTTTTTTATTTATAATTTTATAGCTTTAATTAGCTCCATAAAGTGGTCTTTTTTTTATTTCATATTGGTATGCCGCTTCAAATATTTGTAAATATTATGGTCTGAATAGCTTTTAGTGTTATTATAATTGTCTTTTTTTAAAAATCTTTTTACTGTTCTACACTGGGACTCAATTCTTTGTGTATGAGTCCCATCTTCAGCCACAAAAGGGATATCACGATCTGAGTGATTGCCTTTTTCAATGTTTGTACCCATGCTTTGCATAAACAATCATATGCTTTCCAGAAGTCGGTGTAGATGGTTGTGCCAACTTCTACATGTTTTTGTATATGTGGCACTAATACTTCAGCTGACCGAATAATGTCTGGACATATTTCCAATCTCAGATCTTCCGATTTGTCTTCTATCATACCAATGACCCAATGGCCCTTATACAATATGTCATCCTACAACAATTAAATAATTAGTTAATAATCTAAATGAGTAAAATATTTTAAAATGTAAGTATAATAAGTTTTTTGGACATCCCTGACGCTGCGGGAAATGCAGCCCCTCTACCTTTGCGTACAAAAGCACAGGTATTTTATTCAATTCTTTTCTTAGTTACAGCTGATGGGGGCTGCTCTTCTTCCACACCTACAGGTTTAAAATTACACTTTGGGGTCAGAACAGACTAGTAACACATCAGTTGAGGTTGATTGAATGCGGACCTAACTTAACAAAGATCTAGTTTACAAGTAGATACATATTAATGTAACAGTTAACATGTAGTAAATTTATGAATTAATAGTTCTATAACACAATTACCTTGATTGTATTTTCGTTTCCCAAATTTTGATTCATCAATTTGAACCATCTTCCCTGGGCCACCAATCTTTCCTACTATGTACCTACTTGATTTTTATCCATTTGTTAAATAACTATAGTTTCTCTGCAATAATTATACCAATCATTTATGGTTGCTCGGCTTATGCATTGTTGTCTATTTTCTTTATATATGTGTCTTCATTATATTGGCTGTGTTATAGCTCCATTTTTGCGAAATTATAAATTATTTATATTTATTTGAAAACTGCTATACAATTGTGTATCAGTGACATCTATATTTAGCTGTGGCATGGTTACTAATTCTTTTAGATAGATGGCGCACAGTAAAATTGCAGCCATAATTTCCTGCACGATTGAATTTGCTTGGCAAGAGGACTTAATTAAGTTCTGTAGATTTAATAAATTTTACATACAACTGGCGGGAATCTGCATTTCATATGCAATTCATGCAATTTTTTTTGCAAATACAGAAATGTTTTATTCCTTGCGATTGCGAAATAAGAATGACAGTTTTACACATTAGGCCTCTTCTCTCTAGCGCCAATATTGCGATACTGCAAATTAAAGCACTTTCTGCTATACAACATTGTTCGATGAGGTAACACATGTCTTCGATCAAGATCAAAGCCTGCATCTACTCATTAAAGTCAAGTCCTAGATCGGAATTGCTTGAAGTGACACGAATTCGATGTGAAACGGTGTGTAATTTCGTCAACAGATGGCACCACATGGTGTTTGCATTCGTAAAATTAGTTAATTAATTTATTGTTATTCGATATTTTATTACTTATTCTGCTATTCGGAGCGGAGAAATTACCAAAAAAAAAGATATAACTAACATCGATCGAGCCGATCTTGAGTTATAAGTGGTGTAATTAACACGACTTTGTATTATTATATATATTTATTTGTCTCAAATAGTCATATCTGTACTCTGTGCAAATTGTATATATACATATGTACCTAATACCTATGTACTATGTAGAATACCATTATTGATCCATTGTGCACTGCCAATTTGTGCGAACTTCACGAGTCTAGCTCTGATTGTCGTGTACGAACTACGAAGTACGAACGTCGGTCGTCGAAGACCGAAGTAATTAGTATTGAACAAAATGGCTGAACTATGAAGACGTGTTTATGGCTGACGCACAAACTGTGCTGGCCAAGAAATGAGGGGAAAAAATCTAGTAATTATGAATTATAAAATACAATTAAAACTCAAGAAATATATACTCGCCCAAAAATGTGATTACTTTAGTAAATGCTTAATAAAAGGTGTAGTGAAATATTAAGTTTCGCGTTTCAATACAAACTCAATGAATGAAGTGTTAAAGGACGAATCCTATTGACAATGATCTAAACATGTTTCCCTTAACACCGCCCGTGGTAAAGCGCTTATTGGGGTGGAAAAAAGGTCCTGAAGGAACCTCAGCCGCTGAAGACAAATGGTCGGAAAAGGCCGTGAAGAGTTTGGTAAAGAAATTGAAGAAAACTGGAGCTATCGAGGAGCTTGAGAAGGCGTTGTCGAATCAAAGCGGTCATACCAAATGTGTTACAATACCAAGGTAACATATTCCTTTGTTCATCCACTTAGAGGAGTTTCCTTTAATAATATTTTATAAGAATGACTGTGAGCAATAATTTAACTTTATTTTTTTTATTTATATGAAAGATTAAAAAAAAAAAAAAAAGAAATACGTCGCCATTATTGGGGGTTGCGTGTGGGAGTGGGGGAGGAGGGGGAGGGTTATCACCCCCAACCCCTTTCAGAGACAATTACTATTAAAAAAAAAACTTATTTGTGTAAATATTTGCATTAATACAAATATTTACTGCAGAATGTTGTTTTTTATTTATATACATATTTTATAGCTTAAATTAGCTCCATGAAATAATTATTTATGGTAGCTTGGCTTATGCATTGTTGTCTATTTTATTTATATGGGTTTAATGGCTGTGTTTTAGCTCTTTTTTTGCGAATATGCATATAACAAATAGAACACAATGTTCTAAATCTATTTTAATGTTTTTGAAAAATGTATTCCTAGGAACTTTCCATTATGCTTTGCGATTTCCTTTCGTACAACACTTAATTTTTTTATACTTAGACGTAACTCCGCCAGTCAAAATGACTTGGAGGGGTTCCAATCAAGGTCCCCCGAGACTCGTAGATAATTAGTATCATCATATTCAGGCGATTTATTTCTATCTCCAACTGACTGATTAAAACTTACACATATGTGTATTACAATTTACATAAACCTGACAAGGCTTATATTAGAATATCGGTGTCTACCTCAAATAAAAAATCTGTCAGTTAAATTGATAAAACACACTTCGACTTTGCTCTGAGTAAGATAAATGTCTTGTTACTGTAAAATAAAAAGAGCATTAGAAGAAAATATTAAATTAATTTTTTTTAGATGTTTAAAAACATTTCTACTTCTGTCTTAAATCTTCGCTATGTTTCACAATGCACATAATAATAATATGAATAAGAAACTGATGTTTTACGGTTCCTAATTACTGCAATGTCATAGCGATATTTAAAAGAGTTCTATAGTATGAGCTGCACAGAGCGAGATAGGAATGCTTTACTGCTTTCCTTTATCATTTTTTTTCCTTGTTATGGCTCTGGCACGGTTTGTGCATTAGCCAGCGTCAAGTATAAGATTTTTTATAATTCGTGCTTGCCTTAGAAATTCGACCGAGTCCTCCATGTACGGTTTAAGCACTCGCCCGGTACCGCACAACCCTCCCAAAGGCCGAGAACAAATTTAAATTAAATTAAAACTTGCCCTCGAACCGGGATCCTTTATTATTTCTTGTCTGCACTCTAACTAATTAAACAGACGAAAGATCAACTCATCCTTCCATCAAATGAAATGCAGGCAAAGTAAAAAAATATAAAGCTAGAAGGATTTTGTAAAATATTATCTATTATAAATACTAAATCAGTCTATACTGTTTTGTTATGCACTTTGTCTGTCCAATTGACACCGTCTCTTTAAACAAGTACTTACCAAATATTTTATGACAGATTTCTGAGTGATAAAAAAAACATTTCATTCCAGTTATGACATCATTTGAAGTCGAAAAACGATGTACTAATGAAAATTAAAAAAGATAACAGTATTTTTTTAAATAATTCGTTAAAATATGTATCTACTAGTTCAAAAACGCGTTAAAAAAAATTCTGGGGAAATACCACTAAATTTTAATACAATATATTAATGATAATGTTATCATGAATGCGTTTTTGTTGAAAAATTATTCAATAAACTGTGCTTTGTGTTCATCATACGTAAATTAAGATAAAAGATGTCAATTCAAAAGCAGAATTTATTTGCACAGTTTTTTTTTTGTAAATACATTTAGATTCAGGGCTGACCGATGAAATAATTATCGTTTAATTTCTAAACGACATGAAAATTGCAAGTGCGTTGAACCTCCATTTTTCATTGACCAAAACCGGAAAAATCAACATGGCGCGCAGTATTCTAGGAAAGCCCCCACACCTAAATGTAAAACCCGAGCGATTCGAAAATTCGCATTGCGCATAACATTTTCAGCGAACATTGATCTGTGCGATTTGGTAGCGTTATTGCAGACAGGACGCATATCAAAACGAAGGTCACGTAGGCGTCAAAATAGAAGCTTTGCCAAAATGGCTGCCGGTTCTTAGTCCTTTATAATTTATGAAATATTTTTAAAATAAATTGTGTATTAGTTTAATTAATTTTAGTTTCTTGTTATTTGTGTGTGGGATAATATATTGCATAAAATTCTAATTGGAATCTGATTGGGTAAGGTCGCCATTTATATATAGTATACTTCCTGATACACAAATCTAAGCTAGTGTTATTGTGTTTTGTGAAAACTACGTGAATTTATAAATGAATGTTGAATATACTTATTATTTATGTTACTATAACTTAGCTTTAGGTTATTATATGTAATAAACTTTTCATGATTATCATTAACTACTTAATTATTACTTTAAGCCTAAAATTTAATTGCATAAATCCTTTAGAAGAAGTGACAATAATAGTAAATTCATAAAACAATAAGCATTTCATTGAATAACAAAGTCAAATATTAAAATATACTTTCATTTAGAATTTTTATACCAATTATAGATGTTACAAATAATGTTAGAGCACATATTTAACTTAAATTATTGATTATTTTTAAACAACCAATTTAAATAAATTATAAAATTGTTGTGGATTCTATTAAAAATTACCTCAATTTCAATTTCAAAGAACAGTTTAAAGAAATTATTGCAGTACCTAGTATTGTTTTTCTATTTGTAACTAAGTTTTTGTCCTTTTTTGAGTCTTGGTATCCATTGTTTAGGTGGTTGTAGTACTTTTAGGGCTTTCCTTATTCCTCCTGCTTTAGTAATATGATTTTTTATGCAATCCATTGTTTTCTTTGTTTAACATTTTTTTATTTCTTTTAATCAGTCTTTATCCTTTTTGTTCTTAAATAATTCTTTTGTTTCTGAAATTAGTTGTTTGGTTAATGTACTTCATATTTACATTTTCTGTTGTTTTGGTTTTTTAACTTGATACATTCTTGACACATTCTCTTTATTTGTTTATTGTATCTTTTCTACATTGTGTTCGGCATTTCAAGCAGTTGGGTTTGCATCTGATTTGGTAGTAAGGGTGTAGTCCTCAGAAGGTAGCACTTGTTTATAGTGTTGCCTAGATTTCCCCTGGTTCTTAGAGTGTAAGGTTGCTCTGACCATTCTTTGGTTGATGTAGAGGTGAACTGGTTGATTACCTTTACGTCTTTGAAACTCTTTGGGTTGATTGCTTGTTATGAAATCAATTTCTTTATGGTAGCTACCAATTCCAGGTCCACTTTTGCTAGGTTTTTTAATGAAGAATGTGTTGAGAATGTCTAGCTTGTTTTCTTGACTCAGATTTTCTTGCCATTCTCCATTATTATTTCTCTTTCCTATGGTGTTTTTGTCGATGACATTTTCTTCTCCTGATCTTTGTTTGCCAGTTTTCCCATTGAGTCTACCATAATTATTAGGTTTTCTTCTGTTACAATTGTTGTGATTAAAAATATTCAGTCAAATCGTCAGTTCTCATTTGTTGTACTGCCTTGATTTGATGTTCATTAGTAGTCACAGTAGGACTGTGTATATAGTATTACCCCATTAATATATTTTATTTTTCAGGGTGAAGCCGAATGATAATATATTGAATGGACAATATCGCAAGGGGTTGCCGCATGTGGTTTACTGCAGGCTGTGGCGCTGGCCGCAGCTACAGGTATGACATTTGAATTTTATAAGGGTATTTTGAAATTGCCAATTTTTATGTCAAATCTAATACAGTTTGGACATTCGGGTGTGATACTTACTTCTCATGCTTGAGTCTCGAATGCATCTTACCAAGGCTGATAACTGGAGAGTTCTATACCTTTATTAACAGCTAAGATCATCTACAGTTTTTTTTAATGTTACTGGAGAAGAGCCTTATTTATAACTCAAGCTTGGATGCCATAGATAAGAAAACATAGACGAAAACATAGACTTGACACCACTAAAGAGACAGATTAGGTCAGACATAATCATATTATGTGCGCATTTAACACTTGTATGATGAAGAAAAACATTGTAAGGAAAGTGTTATTGGGAAGAAAAGTATTAAAGGCTGGCTACTTGCCTAAAAGATCAATGAAACAGGAGCCAAAACCCATATATGGTTGCAGTGACACTGGATTATTAAATTGTTCAAGAAGTATTACAAAACTATATATTTTAACTATAGTAATCTTCCCAAATTGTTTACACTGAAACCGAAAAGAAATAGTGCAATTGTCGATTAATTTATTTATAAGGATAGAATCACTGAAGTATTTCCAAACCAATTTGACTTAGGGTCCTTCAAGAGTGTACCAACTCCTAAAAGGCTGGCAGCACTCTTTCAAGCCCAAGAGTATGGGCCTATCACTTAACATCAGGTGAGCCTCCTGCCGGTTTGCCCTTGGTACTATAAAAAAGTTATCTCGCTACAGTAGAACTACTTTAATAGTCTAAAGTTAGGATTTTGGTTGTAGCCTAAATAAGAATATTTATGTACAAACAAAATGGTGTGAACACATAACAAAAATATTAAAAACTAGCTGTGCTCTGCGGTTGCGTCTGCATTAATTCGGTAGCATATTTGACACGTCGCTCTCCCGCCGCCGCTCACCACCGCCCCCCGCCTCCCTCCCAGTGATACCTAAAAATCGCTTCTGCGCAGGCAAGGACATTTGTTCAATATGTTTGCCGGTATCTGTACCTAAAGGCACGCACAAACGATGATTATAATATCGATTAGGGAGCGATTTGAAAGCGACGCCACTGCGCGCGCAACCGGCGCGCGCAGTGGCGCAGAGGACGCGAGCTCGCGGCGTACCTTCCCTGTTTTGTGGCTCAGTAGCAAAATGATTGACGACACGGCAACATTGTGTCTCTTAAAAATTCTTTGGAGCAAGGAGTGGCGTAATTTCCCTTGGAAACAGTGCGTTAATCCATAGATTCGTGGCCAAACGGATTAAATACCTGTATTAATGCCAAACGGGGCTATTTCGAATAGAATATTTTTTTACTTTTTGCTGAGACTTTAATAAATATGTAGAAGTCAATTTTAATAATATTACATTACTTCGTTAATAAAGATGTTGTAGTATTTCCCTATAATGTAAGTCAACTTACATTGTAGGGTCAAGTCGAATCAAAATCCAATCTATAAGTCGAAAACTCGAATTTTGGGCGTGTCTCGCGATGTTCTAATAAGAGGTTCTACAATTGAAAATCGTTGAGCTCCGCTACTAGATAGCAAGTGCATATTTGTGTTAACTAAACGACATGATATATTCGCATATCAACGACCAGCTGGATGTAATATTAAATTCGGTAAGTTATGAAAAAAGCTTCATCATAAATTGTTTAGAATTAATTGCGATAAAATATAATTTGATAAATTTTATATTTTCAATTTCGACCCATAAAGAACTGTAAGCGGACCATCTTATTAAACTGTAGTTACTTCGTATTAATTCCGCAAAATTAAATAAAAATACCATTTTCGATTTTCAAAGGGATTTGTACCCAAATTCGACAGAGATATGAAAATTTACGTTCTTTGATTATGAATAGTTTATGTTATATAAAGTCTTATTTAGCATGGGAGTCAATTTCTTTGTCTCTATTAATTATTTTTTTGCAAATTTTGTTAAACTATTAACCCGAAGGAATTATTATTTCACCGGAAATCGAAACCAGAAATGTTTTTTGCGTTATCCACCGAGCCACGGAATGGATTACTAATAATTATAATACAATTTATAATCTCTCCTATCATTTCCCATTTACAAAGCTGGTCTAGTCTAGTGTAATTAATGAACGTTTCACGGGTAAACTAGCCAAAATAATCTATAGATAATAAACATCATTTCGAGAGAAACGTCATCTAGAAATCAATTTAAGACAGCAGCTGTGCTGAGACAACACTCTTATTTGTGAGGATACTTTGATCGCTCTTTTGTTACAGTGACCGCCTCCGTAATTATCTGTTAAATCACACGTTAACGCTGATAATTCTTTAAAATTAAATGATGCGAGTGTTCAAAATGGCGTCCTCGACGCTGCGCAGTCGCGGTGCGCACGCCGCGCAATGGCGTCGCTTACAAATCGCTCGCAAATCGCCATTGTGACAACGCCCTTAAGCTTTTCTCGGTATATAGACTTTTAAATCTTTTTTTTTTGTTTAACTATTCTGTAGACACTGTCTTCTTTTAAACTATAAAACACTGCTCTATTATCAATAGTTTCCACAACGCGAAATAGGATTTTTCATTAGTCTGTTAGACACCTTGTTACACTATTGTAATTTTATACACAACTCGTAATTTTTTTTTAAATATGTTCAACGTAGGGTTTAATGGGGAAAGAGTTTTTTTCAATTGGTCCAGTAGTCTTGGAGCCCATTCAATGACAAATCATCATTTACTATATATGAGGGGCCGTTCAAGTATTACAGATACCGGCAAACTTCTTGAGCATTAAACAAGGGAGTGGGGGAAAGTTTGTCAACAAAAAAGTGTTGTCTGATTAACCAATCACGCGATCGACACGTCACACGGACCGGCCGCCGCGCACCACCGCCCCCCCTCCCAGTGATTACATCAACAGTAATTATTTACTTTTTTACACATACACATTGTCTATGCTTGAAAACGAAATGCATTTCCGAGGATTCATACAAAAAAATTAATACGTTTATGTACTATTATTTTTGAGAGCTTTACTTACTTTTGCTGACAAGAGGGGGGGGGGGGGAATTGCTGTAAATATGCTTACGGAATACTTGAATGGTCCCCGAATAGAAGAACAGTGGCGCTGCAACTAGGTCTTGGCTTTTGATTTCTGTGTTGTTTTTTCTTTTATTAATAAATGATTAATTTCAGAGCCAGCATGAATTGAAACCGGTGGATCACTGTGAATACGCTTATCAATTAAAGAAGGACGAAGTCTGCATAAACCCATATCATTATAACAAGATTGATTCGCCAGGTAATAATAAACTTTATTCATAATATTATTGAGACAATATTCATCACACATCTTGATTGACGTTATTTATTGATTGTAATTATTTTTTTAGCTCTGCCGCCAATTTTGGTGCCTCGCTGTCCTGAAAACGAGACCAGGGCTCCTCCTCCATACACGGATTATCAGCCCATACACGAACATACAGACAAGTTAGTATATATACATGTACCATAAGTTAATGTAAATTCGAAGTGAAGTGATAGGACAGGTGGTGGTGAACCCCAGGAAATTATAAAAAAAATATTTTCATAATTACAGTTTAAACCCTTTATAACGAATTACAAGAGACCGAGCATTTTTGTCCGTTAAGCTACGGTCTCTTGAAGCGTGTCTTGTCCTGTGCCAGATGCAGCAACTCTTGCGCAGTCGGAATGCCACTCCCTAACGTTGCAAAACCACGATTTCTTCCTTCTACCACGCTGTTTACCCTGGATTTTACCCCAAAATAATGTAATTAAAAATGTGTTTTTAAACTTTTATAGCGTTATGCAAAATGGAGTAGTGGGCGCTCACAGCGCCTTGTATCTCGAGGCAACGCTGGGACAGCAAGTACCTGGCAACACCACAGTACATCTGTAAGTATTTATAAGGCACACTAACACATGCAAACACACATGACATATAAAAACACAGTACATGCATTTGCATCAATGACAAGTGTGCACATAGGGTAACATTACAATGATAAAAGAGAAAATTAATTATATTTCGACTTAGCAAATGTTGTATTGTCTTTGATTAACATAACCTTTACACATTTAAAGAAAAACGTTTTTTACCGGATTAAAGTTATATTTATTATTATAAATTTACAACTATTTGACATAATTTTAAATTTATCCGACGTTTCGCGTGCTTTACAGCGTGCGTGGTCACGGTGACTCAAACAGTTGTAAATTTATAATAATAAACATAACTTTAATCCGGTAAAAGCGTTTTTCTTTAAATTAGCAAATGTTGTTTTTGTTGACGGATCAATAGTGACTGCAGCATCTTACTTCTGAAGACACGGAGAGTGTTATTAAATAGATCTGCTTCGCATGTATTCAAATTGCGCCTCTGTTCACACTAGTCGGCTGTCGGCCACGACCGCAGCTGGTCGGTGCCATTTAACAGTCAAAAAGAGGCTTCTGTACATGGTGGACGTCGACGAAGCTTTTGTTGTGATGTATTATATTTTGTGGAGGAATCGAAAGACAGCTAAAAATAGATGGTATTGGGTGCACCCAATTCTGAGGGAAAGATTTACTTTGGGAATATTTCAGAACTTAATAACGAAACTAAGAAGTGACGACGTTAAGTTTTTCAATTATTTTAGAATGACAATAATTACATGTAACGACCTATTGTCTCGACTCTCGAATATCAGGGAGCATAAACTATCAATATACAAGTTACAGAGACTGACCGACATACGAAAAATGTGAACAGCGCCATTTGCGATCACATATGCGAGCGTTAATCTGACACGTTTATTTTCCGAACACACGATATTTTTTGTCTGATCCGACACAAAATCGTTGCCGGACAAGTGTGAATAGCTTCATATAGAATGTTCTGCTACGACACACGATAAAAAAAACGGGTGCGTGTACTTATGTACGCGCGTAAGAAGTTATACTTCTTTGGCATTATTAAAAATAGTTTTTGATTGTATGCAAATAATTAATTACAATTAAATAATCAAAGACTGGAAAAGGAGTCATTATAGTCAATAAAGTTCAGTTTACATTTGGAAAATTAAATAAATAAATATTTATTATTATTCTCTTACGTTAAGTGTAACATAAATTCTATTATTTTTCGAACGTTGTTTTTAAATTATGTCCAATGCATCGTAGCATCTTCGGTGGGCAACTTCATTCTGTTAATTTTGTGTCAAGGTGCGCGCGCATCGTAAAATTTCACTCTCATCAATTTTTCATAACGCGCCTAAAGAAGTAACTTCAAAAAAATATATGTTTGAAGTGGCTGGAGCCCCAATGTTTTATTATTTAAGGAAATATAACTTGTACTTATGAAATATAATAACATATTTATATTGTCAATATTAAAAAAATAGTATGGCAATGTTTTTTAATTAAATTCTAGACTACTATGTACTCTGTGAATATATAAAGATGTCGATAGTGCAATGTCAGTAGCAACATCTTTGTTAAATCTGTGCAACTGATTCTGGATAAACTTTCCAATATGGATTTGAATTTTATATTTTTTTGTAGATAGTACTCACTAAAAGAAAGCGTTTTACAAAGTTTTAAGTTGCGGAATCTTACGGTTCATGAGATACATTTATTTGTACTTCCCATACAAATGGGCAAATAGCACGCCATAACATAATAAATTTGACAAATAATTGATATCAAACGTCAATCACGTCACGTTTCAATTAGTTCCAAAAAAAAGGGTGCGTGTACTTATGTACGCGCGTCAGAAGTTATACTTCTTTGGCGTTCTTTATTTTATTTAAATATAATTAATTAATAATTAATATTTAACGTTAACAATTTAATAATATTTAATATTTAGTATATTATTCAATTATTAATTAATATTAATAACAATTATTATTATTTATTATTATTTTATTATATTATTCATTCAATTTAATAACTTGGTACGTTTCATAACCTTTTAACTAAGTAACAATAGGTCTTTGTGAAAAAACATTGCTAAATTTCTTTGAAAAATAATTAAAAGAAGTATAACTTCAAAAATTTGAAAATATCAATACTTTAAAGTGTTTACTTACTTTATTGCCATATATCCATATTGCTATATATCCACGTGGAATGTAAATTTAAGAATTATAAATACATCATAATTTTGTATTTTTTAATGCATGCACATAATATTATTATGTAATAATTAATCATATGATATACTTAATATATTATTCACTGTGGAAATAAAGAGGCTATAATAATAATAATAATCGAGGCACCGCTGTTCATAACAGTATCCACCTCTGACCAGAGATGTCGCTACATGTAATTTAAAACGCGGTATCAAAGTGAATTTCGCTAGAAGATATAACAAAACTATTATTTTGACAAGTTGTGAAGGTACACACCATTTTTATATCGAAACAAAACTTAAATTTTTGAAATGACTGATTTATCAGTCATAATAATTACTATCACTTTATAAAACGAAATAATTTTTTTTACCTTTAACATTGAATAAAAGAATTTCGGTATAGTCCATTGAAAAGTTACATTTGGGGTTGCGTTTTTTAGAGGACGCAATTTTATTTATAGAACATGTAGGGGGGGTCAATACAAGCTTAACTCCAAGTTTGTGGGGTTGGCGTGCTTGTCCCCCGGCCGCCATCTTGGATAAAGGGGTCCAAAAACTAAGTTTTTGGCTATATCTCCTAAACTATCAATCGTACATAAAACTTGTAAAGACACATTTTGTAGCAAATCGCTGTGCCTACAATTATGTCTGTGTAACTTTTTATCATAAATCCAAAATTCAAAAAGTTATAAGTAAAAAAGTGAAAATATTTCCTATTTCTAAAGTTGACTAGGTGCGTCAATGCTCATGACAAGCCGATCAAAACAGCAGTTTTACCTTACTTTTAAGATCTCTCGTTTATTTTAAACAAATTTTCCAAATATTTTTTTTATTCCTACAATTTTACTTATTGGTATTCCTAGTAGGCCTATTCCACAGACAACTTGCTGATATGGTAATCTTCGACATAATTATATTATCAATCAGTTATTAGAATGGTAGCTAGCTATCACTTTTTTATTTATAACTTTTTAAATTTTGGATTTATGATAAAAAGTTAAATAGACATAATCGTAGACACAGCGATTTGCTACAAAATGTGTCTTTACAAGTTTTATGTACGATGGATAGTTTAGGAGATATAGCCAAAAACGTGGTTTTTGGACCCCTTTTTCCAAGATGGCGGCCGTGGGACAAGGGTGGCGACCCCACAAACTTGTTTTTAGCTTTACACTGACCCCCTCTACACATCAAAAAAATAAAATTGCGTCCTCTAAAAAACGCAAGGTAAGGCCTAAAAAATTTAACATTTCAATGGACTAGGAATGATGGGGAACTTTTAAATATTATTTATAATTATGTTCTAAATTGGCCGGAGTGAAGGTGTCAACTGTCTTTATTCATAAAAAAAGTGCTAAAAACTAATTTTCAAGTCTTGTTCATTTTTACTAATCTAAAACTTTAGATTTCCGAGACTTAGAGGGAGGGAAAAAGGAAGATAATTGTCTGTTCGAAATACATTATATAAATTTTATAAAATTGATGAGGGTGATGCCAAATATTTTTACACGGCCGATCGACACATTTTTTTGTTAGTCATTGTTGAGCTTCTTTCGGGTTACGTGTTCTCGTGCATCTAGCATTTTTTATTTGGATAATACATATTATTATATACTTTTTGTTAATTATAGTTGATTATAGATACGTCCACTATTTAGAATTTTATAGTGAGTGTTTAGTGCGTGTTTAAAAACTATTGTGAGGCAAGGTATCAATCACCATCAGCCTAACCTCTTTTTGTGCCCATACTAAAACTAATCCCAAATCCTTACGGCTGATAATATTGTGTGCCTATCTTCCTGTAAGGAGACATTGACGAGGTATGTACTCAGGACTTATTATTTTAATATGAATTGTGTATCGACGGCCACCGAACCGTTCTTTGTGGTACATTGTCATTTAAATAATAAAAGTGTTAATAGGCTATTTGATAATAAATAGACTGTGACTTGATGTCCTATAACCCCTAGATGGGGCAGAGTCCACTGTGAGTCTCCATCGCGGTCGGTCTTTAGTCTCGTATTTCGTCTCCAAGTCTTTCCTCATCTGCAACTGCACGACGCCAGGTTCGCTTGGGACTTTCCGCTTTCCTTGAGGGTTCCAGTCAAGCGCCTGCTCGGGGATATGATTGGAATCTCTTCGGAGTGTATGGCCTATCCATTTCTACTTGCGTCGCTTGATCTGCTGGCTGATCGGGGTTTCTCGGCAGCGCTTCCAAAGTTGTTCGTTAGAGATCTTCTCGGGCCAGTAGTTACCCAGGATACGGCTTGTTGCTTGCAGGTTGCTCGGGCCTTGGCAATGCGTGAAGAAATGTGTATGTAACAACAAAAAAAATTATATCTATAGTCAGAAATAAATCTGAATTAGTCTCAAATTTCACTGGAAACCGAAGTTTTGTCTAAATTTCTTGAAAATGAATTAATAAAATGTATTTTTTGAATATCTATTATTAATAATAAAAGCCCGTTTTATTTCCATTACAAAAGAAGAATATACTGCTTGAATTTGTTATATTTATCCGGATAACCTAACTTGCTTCAGTACTATTGATGGTAACCCATTCAAGTGTAAGGCTCCAGCTTTTTCCAAATATTTCTATCCATTTCTTTCTCCATTCGCTTCCTGCTAATGCTTTTATATCTTTCCACCTTTTTCTGCCTTTCACTTTAGTTGAGCAGTTTTGACCTAGTGGCTTCAGCGTGCGAATCTCATACCTGAGGTCGATCCCCGGCTGCAACACTAGACTTTCTATGTGCGTATTTAAAACTCGCTCGTACGTTGAAGGAAAACATCGTGAGGAAACCTACACGTCTTAGACCCAAAAAGTCGACGGCGTGTGTCAGGCATTGGAGGCTGACCACTCGCCTATTAGATTTAAAAATGATCATGAAACAGATTCAGAAATCTGAGGCCAAGACCAAAAGAGGTTGTAGCGCCACTGATTTATTATTGCCACTTTAGGTCCTATCTATCACTTTTGTTCTTCTTATTTTTAGCACACTTGTTTCCATTGCTCTCTGGCATTGTACTTGTGTATATGTTTAGTCTATATATCTTTTGTATATGTTTGAAATGATTTGTCAGCAGTTCGTCGACGGTTGAAACTCCACCCCCAGGGTATATGAGCGAAGATGGAGACCCAATGGACCATAATGATAATATGAGTGAGTGTGTTGACCGATTTTTATATTATTTTTAATTTTGCATTAGTCTATAAGAAAAAAAATTGTGCGTGTACTAGGTGTACACACGTAAGAAGTGAAACTAAGAAATAAGATCTTATTTTTCGAAAAATGATCTACTATATGCAACTTTACAGAAATTCGTTAAATTAGATAAAGTTTAACAAAAGGCTTTTATTATCATAGACATGAATACAAATATTTCATTTTACCTTATTACTACGAAGATTACTATAGAATTTCATTAATTGTAATAGAATTATTACTATCATTGAAAAACGTGACGATTTGCTACAAAATTTCTCCCATACGTCGATAAAGAAGTTTCATTCCAACGCCGATAAAGAAGTTTGACATCAAAAAGCAACATGGCGCGTAACCGAAAAATGTGACGCGTAACGAAAAAATGTTCCACTAAATTTTTTTCCAACCCCGATAAAGAAGTTTCACTTCAATTATGATAATTTTATATATTAAATTTTTTTGTTAATTATTAGAATTTTTCTTGATATTTTTCATAATATGAAATAAAGGCTTAAATAAAAAAATATATACATTTTAAGTGTTGATTAATAATAATTCAAATTAGTTAAGTAATTTAGAAAGTTAATTATTTATGTCAATACGATAGTTCTAATAACAATACCCGTAACCATTTTCCAGACTTAACTCGTCTGAGCCCCTCACCAGGAACATTAGGGCCAGAGACAGCCCCAGTGCTGTACCATGAGCCGGCCTTCTGGTGCAGCATCAGCTACTACGAGCTGAACACCAGGGTCGGGGAGACGTTCCACGCGTCGCAGCCCTCCATCACGGTGGATGGGTTCACGGATCCCAGTAATAGTGAACGGTGAGGAAGATTTGATTGCTTTGAAAACTTCTTATAAAAATAAGAAGTTTTTTTTATAATTCACGTTAGATAAATTATTAGATTTTTTGATCGAAAAAAATTTAGATTTTTTAGAATATCTTTACTTAAATTTTTATTATTTTAAACCAGAACTTCGTTAATTGAGACCTTTTTTCTAAATTTTGGGATATTTAAAAAAAATTATATCTTTACTTAATCGATATTTGAAAAAAATTACAATAAAATTTTTTTTAGGTTTCCTTTATAATAATGTTATTTTTTATCAGAATTTAATTGGATGAGTTTTTTTCTGAATTTTGAGATAATATAATCGTTATTAATCGATATTTAAAAGAAAATTAAAAAAAAAATATATTTTTGAAGTTATACTTCTTTTGGCGCTTTAGGGAAAAATAACAAAAAACCGACACCCTGAAGTTAGCTATAGTCAACATTTTAGTCAGTATCGATTTTTGTACAAAAGTAGAATAAAATTTTTCAAAAGATTTTGATCTTGTTACCTCAAAGAAGTATAACTTCTAACGCGTGTACATAAGTACACACGGTTTTTTTTTTTAGTTTCTTATGTAGGATAAGAATTTGTTATTTATAATAACCAGATTTTTTAAATATTTGTTATTAAATACAGATTTTTATAATTTTTTTTCAGTTTCTGCCTCGGTCTCCTCTCGAATGTGAATAGAAATGAGGTTGTAGAACAAACACGCAGACATATTGGGAAAGGCGTTCGACTCTACTATATAGGTGGTGAGTGTATGGGCCGATTTCTATTATTTACCTTAGGTTCGATTCCCGCACAATAACATTTTATTTAAGCTCTCAAACATGAAGAACCGAACCAATTCGGCTTAGGGTCGTTTAAAGATTGAACCAAATCTTGGCCGGCAACGCACTCGTGAGCCTTTTCATATTTAGTGTCCATGCGTTGTAGGTTTATCCGAAACCATACGAGCTAGGGTACTTTTAAACCGATTCTTAAAAGACCTGCAACGCACTCGTGAGCCCTTTGGCGGTGAGTGACCATGGCTGGTAGGCATTTCCGAACCAATTCGACCCAGGGCCCTTCAAAGAACGTACCAATTGTTAAAAGGCCTGCAACGCACTCGCGAGCCCTTTGGCATAGAGTGTTGGGTATCACTTAACATCAGGTTTGCCTCCTGCTCGTTTGTCCAAAAATAGAAAATACTATCAATAACACTTTTATCAAGTATCCAATTTTTTTTATTTTAATTAATTATATAAATTCCAGGTGAAGTGTTCGCGGAATGTCTCAGCGATTCATCAATATTCGTCCAAAGTCCGAATTGCAACCAGCGGTACGGCTGGCATCCAGCTACGGTGTGCAAGATTCCACCAGGCAAGTAAATATATATACATACAGTCAGTTGCTTATATTTATTGTTATAAATATTTTATTATAAAATAATTATAACATTTTAATAAAATTCCCAATTAAAATCACTTTTTTTTAAATTCATGGGACAAACCAAAAGCGTGTTTTAGACTAACAAACTTTATATATTAAAATTAATTAAAACATCAGTTTTGACACATGATCAATTTTTAAGTAAAACATTAATCTCGGTTATTAAGAAACAAAATGGGTTTAAATAATTAACTTATTTTAAATTAATACATTTATTTTTTTTATTTTAATTAACTTATTTTTTAATAATCAACTTAATTTTTAATTGATTCACTGGTTTTTTAATCACTTCACTTTTTAAATAATTCACTGGGTTTTTAACAATTAACTTATTTTTGAATAATTCAGTTATTTTTAAATATTTATTGATGTTATTTCAGGTTGCAATTTGAAAATATTCAATAACCAAGAGTTTGCTGCGTTGCTCAGTCAATCAGTCTCTCAGGGCTTCGAAGCGGTGTTCCAGTTGACTCGTATGTGCACTATACGGATGAGTTTCGTCAAAGGATGGGGTGCTGAGTATAGGTAATCAGGCAAAATATCTAGTGAAAAAATATATATTTAAAACTTCGTTGCTTTAAGAGTACAAATATATGATAAAATGCTACCTAAACTATGAACTGAAAGAAAACAGTTTTTAAATGTTTAAAAAAAAACTCGTCATTTAAAAAAGCCTTAGATATAAAAAAGTTTTATGTTTTAGAGATAGCTAAACGTAAGAATTAAAAAAAAAAACTTTTTATTTCGGAGGTACTTTTTGTTCCATCTAAAAATATAAAAACATAATTTCCAGACGTCAAACCGTAACATCGACACCGTGCTGGATCGAGCTGCACCTGAACGGACCCCTGCAATGGCTGGACAGAGTTCTGACGCAGATGGGTTCACCGCCCTTGCCGTGCTCCTCCATGTCTTGAAAAGGTGAGGCCACAAACACACAAAATAACATTATTTTATACGTCACATGACGCAAGAAGAGTAGAAGATGACGTAACATGCTTGTATATAATGAATGCCGTCCAATACTGTCTTGGTAAAATTTCGTCCGAGACTGATTTTAAATTAATTATTGTTTACAAGCATGTTGTTTAATTTTAATTTTCAAAGCTAATACTAAATAACATGTCGTACGACCGCCGAAGGGACCGTTCAAGTATTACGTCACGCAATTTATGGAGATTATTGACCCCCCCCCAGGTAATCGCGCCGTAACGTTTTTCTCTATCCAATAGGAATACGTTTCGTGACCCCACCCAGTGACACTTTATACCTAAAAGTTACCATTATGTGGTTTTGAGTACTCAAAAGTCGAAAATAAACTTGACAATAACGCGTAATTCAATCCCCGCCCCGTAACGTATTACAAAAGGACCCCCCCCCTCAAATTCGTTACGTAATACTGAACGCTCCCGAAGGACTAAAGGACGGCCTCCCTTTCCACTTGTCTCATATCTTCTCTTCAATTTTCTTTTCCCCGGTATCTCTTTTCATATTCCCAAGTTCTGGTGGGCGTACTCTCCTTTTTCTTATCTAAGGCAGCTTTTTGCAACTCAAAAGTGGGCATTGACCGAATTCACTTATTGTAATTAAATAAAAAGAAAATAGTTAACCCTTACACTCACGCCCTTATTGAACGTGAAACTTCAATCTCAAATTTATTTCGCTCAGGATGAGATTTTAAATTGAGATAGGAATTTGTACATTGACTTTATAGTTTAGCTTATGTCCCATACCCCAGGCAATATTAGGAGAACTTGGAGCTGTTTTTTATACAATGTTTTAATTATTTTTTTTTGTTCAGGTCTTTACAACTGGGAACGCTCAGCTAAGTGTAGTTCAACAATTACCTCCATAATGAGTCTAATTATGATACAGGCTGTTATCTAAGCATATCGGACGTCTAGAATGTCAAATGGCAAATGTCAAATGTCGACTGTCAAATGGCAAATTGTGAACATCTAAACTAGGTCATTTAATCAACTCATCCTTTCTAGTGCTGTCAAGTTATATATATATGTATATATACGGGCACGAATGAAGTCGTGAGTTGATTCAATTGTTAACTCATTTACAATAAAATCGGTAAAAAATTACGATTTTTTCACTTAAATATTTATAGACGACGTAGTATGCTTAGGTACAGCCTGACAGGTTGTTTGTGAATATGTCACTGTCATATTTTGACAGGCCGATTCAAATTCGAATACGAAATATCACAAAATTATGTCACTGACAATTGGGGCTGTGTAACAGCCCACATTGTTTAAAAATCTCAGATTGTTCGTATACATTATTATAAATGGGCTATTTAATAGCCCTTATAGATCAAACAGCACTGAGATGGTAGTGTCATTGTTTTCTAAACAATACTCCGTACAGTACATAATGGGCTGTTAAACGACCCACAAAGTCAAGTACAAGTCTTAATAATATTTCCTAATGAATTTTTTTCTCAATTTGGAATCGTCAATTTGACATAAATATATTCACAAACATACATAAGTATTTAGATTGATGTAAATTCGCATAGTATATTATCATTGCATGTTAATTATTTACTGTTTATGTCAAAACTGTCATTTGTTTTTGTGTCAACTGTGACATGGATTTGACATCTTTATTAGTTTTGACAGAGAGTGGCCAAAAATGTGAACATTTTTTGAAAGAAACTGAATAGAAATAATAAAAATATATAAACACCTAACATATATAACTAGTCCAGCCATAAGGTTACAAGTGAAAATGCATTTTAATGAAGTAATGTAATATTATTAAAATATAATTATTAATATATAAATATAATTATAATATAATTACATATTTATTAAAGTCTCAGCAAAAAATAAAAAATATTCTATTCGAAATGGCCCCCTTGGCTTTTATACAGGCCTACAATCTGTTTGGCCACCCCGTTCCATATTGTAATTTGATAATTAACACGAAACAATATGTGAAATGGCGCAAAATCGAAAGAAGATTTTAAAACGAGTTCCAAATTCAAAATAATTAAAAAGTTACAAAAAAAGTTTCTATGTAACAATATCTATGGCTAGACTAGTTATACAGTGAGGAACAATTATGAATAAAAATGTTCGTTTAAAATATACACATTCAATAATTGGCCACTCAAATAAAAAACTCATATAAAACATATCTTACTATTTAGACGTTTTAGTTAAATAAAGGTTTTAGGATGTGGAGTTGGACCTGTTCGGTAGGTAAGGAATGGATCAATGGTAATACAAAAATATTTTAGCGACGGCCAATACCGTCAAAACCTTTAAAAAATGTTTGGTATATTGTTAAAAAGTCTCAAACAAACATTTGTTGAAGCAGAATTCAATCCCCTCAGATAAAAATGTATGAATTTGATTGAATTAATACCACGTCGTTGCAATGCTGTAAGCAGAAATTACATTACGAAATTTATGGCATGTAAAATCACGAAAGTAGTTTTGATATATGCGAAAGTAATTTTGTAAAATAGTGTCGTGAAATCAGTATCGCAGTATCCATTGCCCTATCAGCATCAAAGTTATATTTTCTACATTCAATGTCAAAGTCAAATCATTTATTTCAATTAGACCACCTAAAATGGCACTTTTGAACGTCAAATAAAATATAAAGAAGATTCAAGTTGCCCCTTCCAAAAGGTAGTTTCGTGTGGAGAAGAATGGGCAAGAAACTCCACACTTACTCTTTTAAAATAGGTTTACAATATTTTATTTTGTAGCTAAAGAGATGCTTCTATATAAACTGAAGAAAAAAAAGTTGGTGGATTCGAGTATGGTTAACAGTAATGCATTTCGGTGCAATGTAGTCTCTGAATTAGCAGATGAAGATAGATAGATAGCTATAAAAACTGTTTTCGAAAGAGTCTTAATTTTAATTTTTGACTGAGAAGAGTGTCTAATAAAACATCTAAAGAAGATATATTATGTGTCGAAAAGTGTTGCCAACACTGCCTTTTTTATGCAATTGGAAATAGTTTATAATTGGAGATAGTCTTTATCATGCTAATTCTTCACAGATGCTTTCGCGACACTAGTTTCACATCGCATCTCCATCATGAAATTAGTTGCATGAAACTAATTTCGTAATGTAATTCCGGCTTTATTGAAACTAAGGGATACGCCAAAATATAATTATACAAGAGTTTGATACATGCTATCATTGTGTGCGTGACATTTTTTGTAGATATTGATTTGTTCTTTAATATTGTGGAACATTTTTTTGTTCTATCGTCAATAGCCAATTCGTTACAACATACTTATACATACAAATATTTCCTCTTTATAATATTAGTGTAGATAACTATTGGTAGGCTGTGGATAGTAGCTATTTCGTATTTTGTATTTTCTAGGAGTATATCTACTATATTAAACACTTATCTTTTTTTATACTTATATGAAAGCCTTATTATGTACATATAGTTATGATTGAAAGATATTTAATTATTTTAATTGATTTTTGTAAATGAATCTTTTTTTTATCTTTAGTATATTTGTTTTTTGTTATACATATATAATTCTTACGTACGAAATAAATAATTATTAAGATATTTACTAAACTGCTTAAGTTCATTTATTTATAATGAATGACACTGACTGGAAAATCACATAAACCGTAACTTGTACTTCAGTTTATCACGTGGAGATAGCTACTTTTTTTAAAAAAAAATTGTAATTGTGATTATTTTTTGTAATTTTGATGATATTTTTGTAATTTTGATTATTTTTTGTAATTTTGATTATTTTTGTGTAATTTGATTATTTTATTTTATTGTAATTTTGATTTTGGTTATCTTTTTAATGTAGTGAACACATCTGGTGATAATTTTATATGAACTAGTAATGAGTATTATATTCTTTTTACAAATCTATTGTAACTTACAGCATCTAAATTAAGTTATTATATGATTTGAATTTTTGAATTTTTATTTACATTTACAACATTACTAACATTGAAATAACACTCCTATACATAATATTTTAAAATATACCTTTTTTATTTCTTTTAATTATAAAGTTCACAAAAAAGAGTGCGACTTTACAGGAATTACAATCTAGCCTATACAATAATTATGGCTAATAAGTAATATTATGTTGACTTTATTTTCTACAATACTATTAAATAGCTTAAGCTAAGGAAACGTTCATTAACAGTCTCGGTGTTCTATAATGATTAGACGCTATGTTCGTGTGTCCTAGATATCGAACTTTCCACTAATTATATTCTCTTCATTAGGTTTTTTAACACTAACTTAAATTAATTCCTTTTATTAAAGTGGTATATTATTGTGTCTCGTACTTTTCCACTTGGCACATAGATTGCGCAAACGCAAATTTAACGCAGGTATTTAAAAAAAAAGAAACTTTGAATATTACTCGATTGTGACTTGTCAATAATCCCCCAATTACGCGACACGGTTTCGCAACTACACAATCAAACTTTTAGTGCGAGGCGGTGAATTAAAAAACAACTGTGGAACGTCAGACGGTGACGTAATAGGGGTGAATTCGTCAAGATAGATATTTAATTAGATCTCAAAGCGTATATTCAAAGTAGCTTTTACCCTTCATTCAAAAATATTATAAAAATTATTTTGGTGACAAAATAAAAATAAATTTATAAATGTGTGATTTGAGTACCATCATTGCGTTTTATTCATAGCAAAAAGGTTAACACTATGGTACTAGATGTCAGTTTGGCCTTAATAAAAAAAAAAATTAGTTTTAATTAGTTTGACCTGTCACCGTTTTCACATAGTAATATTCCTAATAAATCCCACGCCGGTATAATGGATAGACTGCGTTTTAGACTACATACAGAGACAGAGCCTATTATTATACTCCAAAAGTTGTAATTGTTTGAATTATTTTGAACATTCGCACTCTGATATTATTGATAATAGATA